TGCTTGAAATCCCATGTCCACAGACCCTACTGTGTGAACCCAATATCCATGCGGTCCACGGTGCTGCCTGGAACCTGATTTCTCCTGTCTCCTGCACAGTTCTCAAATTGCTGAAAGCCCACAGGAGAATTCTCTCTTTGGGAACCGCCGCTGCCTACCAGAAAACATCTCTGAGCCCAGCTGATGAGGGCCCGAGAAAATGGCTATAAGCTAGAGAAAGCAAGAGGCGTGAAGACCACGTGAGACCTGACGGAGACACAGAGGATGTGCAAGGAACGGAGAGCCAACTGGAGCCTCGGCAGTGCCAGGGAACAGCACCAAACTGCAGGGGCCGCTGGCGAGTTTTAGTCGGGGGGGGGGGGGGCGAGATCCACCTTTGAGACAGAGGAGACATTTCAGTCCATGGGGGTGTGTGTGTGTGTGTGTGTGTGTGTTTATTTTTGAGTCATGGGGAATTTCTTTTAAATAAAAATTATACAGAGATAGTTTGGCCTAGTGATTAAGACACCAGTTCAGATGCCACATCCCACGTGGGAGGGCCTGGGTTTGAGTCTTGGTACTGCGCCCAAATCCAACTGCCTGTTAATATGCACCTGGGAGGCAGCAGGTGATGGCTCAAGCGGCTGGGTCCTCACCCTGGCTCCTAGTCCACCCAAGCCACGGTGGGCATCTGGGGAGTGAATCAGTTGACAGCTTTCTCAAGTGAATTTTTTTTAATTATACAAATCACACGCAAGTGCTTCTTTTTAAGATTTCTTTATTTTATTTGAAAGGCAGAGGCAAAGAGAGAGAGAGAATTCCATCTGCTGGTTCACTCCCCAGATGGCTGCAACTGCCGGAGCTGAGCCAATCTGAAGCCAGGAGCCAGGAGCTTCTTCCAGGTCTCCCATGCAGGTGCAGGTGCCCAAGGACTTGGGCCATCTTCTATTGCTGTCCCAGGCCACAGCAGAGAGCTGGATTGGAAGTGGAGCAGCCAGGACTTAAACTGGCACCCATGTGGAACGCCAGCACTGCAGGGAGTGGCCTTACCCGCTACGCCACAGCACTGGCCCCAACACAAGTGCTCTTTTACTGTAAAAAAATTCAGACCATCCGGAAGGGCAGAGAGGCAATGTGGACACCTACATCCACCAGCCCTGCTACCAGTCTCTTCCCCCCGGAGCCATTATCCACAGCTTGATGTTTACTATTCCAGTCTCTGCATCTGGAAAAATATGTAAGTAAGTTATACATAGTCGTGTCGTGTGTAGGTCGTGCTTCGCAGTTCTCTGACCCGTACCTCCACGTGAGCATACGTAGAACCATCTAATGATTGCTCTCTTTTGCGCTCAAAATGCTGTTCTAGAAAATCAAATTTTCCCAGGAGGAGCCTGAGTGGTTCAGAATCTGCTTCTGGCTTCTCCTGCCCAAAAAGAAGATGGGGGTGGGGGGAGGTGGGATGTCTGAGCTCTGGGAGACCCGAGTCAGTCAGTGAGAGAAGCCACCACGTCAGGGCAAGAGCAGCCTGAGCTGCCGAGTGCCCAGGACCCAGGAAACTCTGGGGAGGCGACGTTGACGGCCAGGTGGATGCTGTCGCCGGGGTAACTGAGGCACGAGGCTAAAACTGGGGCAGTGCTGAGCGCCCACCAAAACCCCTGCACATGGTTGCGAGGGGAAGCCCGTGGACAGCGAGGTGGATACTCTAGGCACTGTTAGCTGAAGTTCAAGTTCTCCACACATAGACATAGAGGAATGGGTGCAGCGTGGCCCCTAAGGGAAGACCCGGCCAGACCGCGTGGGCAGGGCACGGCCAGGCCGGGTGAGATGCTGGTCTGATCCGGAACCTCCCGGGCAGGAAGGCACACTTCTGTCTGCAATAAGGCATCTGTGTTTTGCTAAAATGTGTGAAAATGAACCCTTTATTCACACAGCAGATAGAACTGGCAGACCCTAAACTAACTGACTTCATGGTTTGGAAGGCCAACAAGCCCAGATCTAGAGAAGTATATTAGACAAACGTCTGGGCAGAAACGGCAAGGCTTGTTGGATGGCACACAGATCTAGGCCTGCGCTTCTACAGCCTAGCCCTACAGGCGTCAGAGAAGGAGACGTCAGCTCAAGCAGCAGGTTAGGACCAGCACAGAACCTTTAGAAAAGATCCGGAAGAGTAACAGGAGGAGGAGGGACGCGTGGCCCAGGTATTCCACCCGAGTCCAGTACCCGGCTCCATCTCCCGACGCCAGCTTCCCACTGCACCTTGGGAGACAATGGTGTTGATCAAGTGTTGGGTCTCTGCCACCCACATGGGAGGCGTGGGTTGCGTTCCTGACTCCTGGCTCCAGCCTTGGCCCAGCACTGGCCATTGCAGGTGTGAACCAACAGAATGGAGCACGCCCACTCATTCTCTATGCTCTGTTTTAAACAACAAGAGGAAAGCAGGCATAAATGACGCATCTCACTAAGGAAGGAAGGGTACAGGGGTCCTCCCTCACCTCTGGCTCTGTTTTCCACAGTTTTAGTTATCTGCGATCAGCCATGGTCCAAAAATATTAAACAGCAAACTCCAGAAACAAACAACTCGCAAGTTTTAAATAAATTTGATTATAGCCTAGTTGTTCTATGTTTAGTTTGCTAATCCTTTACTGTGCCTATTTTATACATTTTCTCATGCTTGCATTTGTACAGGGAAAAACACAGTACAAATACAGACAGGGCTCAGCACCAGCTGTGGTTTCAGGCATTGAGCGGGACCTTGGAACACACCTGGGCAACTGGACAGCACACAGAAAAGCAATCGAAGGACACAAGCAGCTTCCATAGCCCCCAGGAGTTCCCAGGGAAGACTCGGGGGCTCTCATGCTGAGGGCCGCTGGCCAGCGCTCACTGCTGTCGGGGAGCTCAGGGTGGCCGCCACCTTGCTCAGCCAGGTCCTCAATTCACAGGAAGGCAGCCATGCCTCCAAGGGTCACTGCGTGAGACAGCAGAGCACGCAGACACAATTTTCCCTGGATAGGGGACACAGAGCGCCCCCTTCAGCCCTGGCACGAGAGGTGCCCCGTTAATTCCAGGCCACAAGCACACACCGGCTTCCAGACACCACTAAAACAAAAAGATTCTCCCAGTTCCTCCACCCAGATTCTGTGAGCAAACTCTGTGTCTCGGGCCAGTGGTAATAGTGTAGTCCAGGAATGTGGCTGTGGGAAGACGCTCAAGGGAGGGCACTGGCCTTGCTTCCTAAATGTAAGTCATAGGGGTTCCTGGAATACTTGAATACACTGGGCCTAAACACCGAGCAACATCTAGAGAACATCCAAGAACATCCAAGAATGCACTAACGCAACCTCAGAGGACCTGAAGGAACCCACTCTACAAGGAAGCACCCAGGCTGCAGCTGGGGGAACCCCGACTCTCCCAGCCATGCAGAACATCCCCGAGAATTTGTCAAGTAAACGCCAAGGAAGACCAGCTGGGACTTTAAGGAATACACATAATTTCTTTGGATTTTTAACTGAATTGGCTTTACACTGATTCTTCTACATTTTAAGGTCCCTGAACTGTAACCACAAGGGACTTTGAATCATTTACCACTCAAATTTATGATTATGGGCATGTCTATTTTGTTGCCATCATGTTAACCAAGACAAGGTAGGCTATGCCCACATCACAAATGAACCCTGAAACCACAGTAGCAAACGACGGTACAGAACTGTCACTCTTCATGTCCCAGCCATCACCAGGAGCCAGAAGATGGCTTTGGTCAAGGCTCTGGCTCCTTCGAGCCTGGGACACCTCCCTCCCAAACACACAGCCACCTCCTGGGGTCAACTGCAAGTCATGGGCCTCAGGAGCATTTTCAGAAAGCCAAGAGAGGTTTTGTGGGAAGCCAGCTTAAAAAATCATAAGGCTTCAGGGCCGGCACCGTGGCACAGGTTAATCCTCCGCCTGTGGCGCCGGCATCCCATACGGCCGCCGGTTCTAGTCCCAGCTGCTCCTCTTCCAATCCAGCTCTCTGCTATGGCCTGGGAAAGCAGTGGAAGATGGTCCAAGTCCTTGGGCCCCTGAACCTGCATGGGAGACTTGGAGGAAGCACCTGGCTCTTGGCTTCGGATCGGCTCAGCTCCGGCTGTTGTGGCCATTTGGGGAGTGAACCAACGGACTGAAGACCTTTCTCTCTGTCTCTCCCTCTCACTGTCTGTAACTCTACCTCTCAAGTACATAAATTTTTTGAAAATCTTTAAAAAAAAATTACAAGGCTTCCCCCAAGGACAGCTTACCCCCCACCCCCAGGGGTCAGCCATAATGACCACATGCTTAATGGTCAAGCCCAAGGAGTCAGAGATTCCCTAACAGGTAGATCAGCAGGGAACATTTATCCTCAACTTCCAATGTTTCCTTCCACATGAGGGGAACACTATTTATGTAACATTTCTAGCTTCTCTTAGCTCCTTACCCATCGTCCCCACGGGCAGAGGTAACCTATGATATGAGGTGTTTTGGGGAGGATCTGGCCAGCATAAGTCAGCAATTTACTCCCTCCCCCTCCTCCTGGAGCACTGTCTGCAGAGCCCGGGATCCTGGTGGCTCCCCCATGCTGTACATTTTCTAGGGACAAGACCTCACCTGCGACCAGGTGGGTAAGTCACACCCTGGCTTCGGCACTAGAAAGCGTGGTGTGGCTGACACACCTACACTCGTTTATCAATACAACAGGACGCATTTTTGTCTTGCTGCTCTGTTGTTTTACATTTTCATTCAGAGGGAAAACACTTCAGTAGACGATAACCTGGTTTGGTCTCCGGATCAGTTTTGTGTTGAATCTACGGCTCATAGATGGAGGGTTTGATAGTTCGGTAATGTTGGTTCGCCCGCTGGGATCTAGCTTCCTCTACAGTTCACTCGCGGCTTCATAACCATTTCCTTTCCAAACCATCTCTCCTTTCGACCCATGAACTTTTAGGGAAATATCTTCCATGTGACTTCCTGTCAAAACCACGCAATCAATACCCAGCGAAGAGACAATAAATGCATCACAGGTTTTATTGATAAGACTGGAACAAACAAGAATATTAGCTTAAGTTAACTAACACACTGGGGGATGATACAGAAACTGCTATTTACAAAAACACAAATAGAACTAAAGCCCAGTTTTCATTCCACAATAGGAATAGTGACATATACAAAGCGATCATTTTATAAACACTGATCTCAATCATCCTTGTCCACTTTGGTTTCTGGGGAAAAAGACTGACGTGAATTCTTTGGCATCACCTTTCAAAATCGCGTCTTCCGGGGTCGTTATCCACCAGAGTGCCAGTCAGCGTCTGAGATGCACGCAGAGGGTGCACGCTGGGGAGTCATGGTTTACATCTCTAAGTTTCCCTTCAGTGATGGGCCCTTCCACGGCAGTGAGGTGGGGGGCAGGGAGACCTGGGCGTGCAGGCAGGAGCCTGGCTGGTGCTTCCAGCCTGTGACTGAGCGAGGCCCCCTCCTGTCTCGCCAGTCGGGAGAATGATTCCAAACGTGAAAGGCTCTGGAAAGGATTCAACCAAACCGGCGCAGCGCCAGCACCTGGTCTGACATCTGCCTGCAGGGGGCGCTGTGCGGGACTGGCTGGAAACCACCCAGGCGGCTGCACGGAACATGCCGGTTCTTCTTCTCTCTGGTTAGCAGGGACCCTCCCCAAAGGAGTCCAGCAATTGCAAAAGAAAACAGGCTACAAAGGAACCGAAAGCCGAGCTTCGATACCTTCTAGGCACAAGTCTGGTTCTTCCCAACTATTTTATAAATCACTTTGGTTGTTTTTATTTATTTTTTTTTCCCCAAGAACTTTGGCCTTCCTTCCTTTGTAAGGCAAATTCAGGGCAACTTCCTTAACCCTGATTTTCTCCTTAAAGCCCTTTTGATTTCAAAGAAAGCTCCTTTGCATTTTAGTGCCCTAAGAGGTAGGATATTTACCCTAGACTTTTTTAAAGATTTAGTTATTAATTTGAAAGGCAGAGCTACAGAGAGGGAGAGACAGAAACAAAGAGGTACTTTCCAGCTGCTGGTTCATTTCCCCAAATGATCACAACAACCAGGAGCAGACCAGGCCGAAGCCAGAGCTTCTCCCAGGTCTCCCCCGTGGGGCGCAGTGGCCCAGCGACGGTCCAGCCATCCTCCGCTGCTTTCGCAGGTGCATTAGCAGGGAGCTGGATTGGAAGTGGAGCAGCCGGGACTCGAACCAGCGCCCCTCTCGGATGCTGGCTGGTACTGCAGGCGGTAGCTTAACCTGCCGCGCCGTAGCGCCAGTCCCTACCCTCTACTATTTTAATAGGGTCATTTAACAGGAACATTTTCCTTTATTGAATCTGATGCCTTTGGGCTGGCTTGTAAGACAGCAAACTCACAGGCAATTCAAGCATCTTCAAAAGTGATCTACTCATTTTTGTCTCCAGCCTGCACGGTTGAGTCTTTTGAAATATTGCTTTGTAGGAGGCTACAGGGAACCCTAGTAGGCTGAAACCCATCCTCAGCCCGAAACGCCCACTGCCGAGAAGGGAGGCACTGGGTAGGCGGAAGCTGGTGCTTCATAACCCGACCTCAGACACGGCCCAGGCTGATGTGGCGCAGCCCAGAACGCCAGAGTCTTGGGTTCCAGTTCCTGCCCACACGGCTCTGCCACTATCCAGCTCGGGGCCTGCTACCTGCCACAAGCGGCCTGCAGTGTAGGCGTCCCTGGGGCCAGTTCCAGTTCCAACACCCCACGGCTCAAGGATTTCCGTTAGCCTCACAGCACGAGGGCTCTGAACGCCAACTCCTCCAGGAAGTCCGCAGGCTTCATCCTCAGATGTGCCGCCCCGTCAGGAAGAACAGCGGCCGGTCCTCCGCGGCGTTGGCCGTCTGGAACTCATCACGCAGCCGGAACTGCCACTCCTCCTCCAGCTCCAGGCGCACGACCGTCTGGCGCAGCGAGTTCCGGTCCTGGCAGATCACACACAAGGTGGCGCCTGGGAGACCGGCGGCAGGGGTGCGAGAGGAGGGAACATGAGAGAGCTGGTGCTGGACTCTCCTTGGAACAGCAAGATGGGGAGTCCAAGGGGATCTCTCTTTTCTTTCGGAATCATTTGTAACCAGACAGACACCGATGTGGGGATTTGGCAGAACAAATCGGCAGAAAAAGAGATGAAAAAGACCAGAACGGGAGAGGTGGACTGGAGAGAGTGGGTCTGATGGCAGATCAAATATTCTCAGTGCCAGCCCTGGGCTCACATCTGCCCCCCAACCTCCCACCGCCTAAGCCCCCTTCTCCACCCAGCCGAGGCCTGTCCACCAACCCCCAGCCAGGCCTGGGGCGGCTCCCGCCTTTCCCCACCTGCTCAGCCAGGGGAATTCTCTCTCCTCTCAACTCTGAGCGTACTGCTGTCCATCAATTGGGGTTTTTTAATTTACTTATTTGATGGGATAGGCAGTGAGATCATGGGACAGCAAGAAACTGTCTATCAACTGCTTCATGCCCCAAACAGCCCACAAAAGCCAGGGCTGGGCCAGGCTGAAGTCCACAGTTGGGTCTCCCACATGGTGGCAGGGACATCCTAGGAACTTGGCCATCATCACCTGCCGCCTCCCCAGGTTGTACTTAGCAGGAAGCTGGAGCCGAAGCCAGGGAGCCAGGATTCGCGGCTGGCACTCTGATAGGGGACACTGGCATCCGGGGCGGAGACTGACCCCTGCACCAAACGCCCGCCCCGTCAATCAGGCTTTGCTCCCCTTCTCCGCCTCCCCCCTCCACCTGCACGCCCAGGCCTGCCTTCACAGAAGTGGTTCCTGGGGGCACAGAGTGACGTGGAAACCACTCCACGGTCCCCAGGGTTTTGCACCCTGAGCTGGCAAGGCAGGTCAGAGCGAGGAGTGGCCAGAGAAAAGCGACGGAAACGCAGCTTGGAAACCCGCTTTTACAGGCAAGTAGGCGGGTGCTCGTCATTCTGAACCACGCCAGCGCGCCAGGAGGAAGAGGAGAGGCCAGCAGCGAGCCGAGAAAGGACTCAGCCCCAGGAAGCAGCGGCTAGGGTACCCAGGTGCCGGAGGGAAGGGTTTGGGTGGAGAAACACACAATTCAGAACATCTGTCTCCTGTCCGACAGATGGGGAAGTGTCGCGTCTCTACCCAACAGGCACAGGGCGGGGGAAGCCCCCAGGGGCCCAACCCCAGCTTTCTGTACTCTCCCGAGTGGGCATGGCGGTCACTGTGTCTCTCTCTCAGCCTCAGTTTACCCCTGGGCAAATGAGGAGCAGGGCCAGCGGCTTCATCAGAGGCACCCCGGTCACCCAGGCCGCGTCCGTGCAGCAGGTTACCTTTCAGAAAGTGGAACTTCTTCAGAAAGCCGGCGCCCACGAAGGAGTCGCAGAGGTAGAGCAGGAGGCCACTGAACACGAGCGTGGAGCAGCCGACGTTCAGGGAGTGGGGCCTGGAGCTCACGTAGCAGACGGAAACCTGAAACGGAAGGCGTCGGAGAGAGACACAGCTCAGGACGTGGGGGGCTAAAAGCAGCACGCTCGTGCTCTTCCCACATCTGCACCCCACGAACGGATCCCAGGGGCTTCTCTGCACTCGTCAACCTGTGAACTCATCTGAGAGCCGGCGAGAAACGCTTTAGCATCACAACTGGGCTGGATGCCCAGTGTCTTATGTTTGGGCAAACCATTCTCACTTGCAGTCTTAATTACGTCAGCTGTCAAGCGGGAGAAGCGGTTGAGACTAAGCAGATGAGTACAGCCAGCCCTCGGTGTCTGTGGGTTCCATCCTCGGGGATTCAAACAACTGCACATAGAAAATGCAGGGAGAGGGGCCGGCGCTGTGGCAGAGCGGGTGAAGCCACCGTCTGCAGTGCCGGAACCCCATACGGGCGCCAGTTCGTGTCTTGGCTGCTCCACTTTGGATCCAGCTCCCTGCGAATGGCTTGGGAAAAGCAGCAGAAGATGGTCCAAGGGCCTGGGCCCCTGCACCGACATGGGAGGTCTGGATGTAGCTCCTGGCCCCTGGCTTTGGCCTGGATCAGCCCTGGCCACTGTGGCCAGCTGAACCAGCAAATGAAAGCTCGCTCTCTCTCTCTCTCTCTGTGTGTCTCTATGTCTCTGTAACTGCTTTTCTGATAAAGAAGTAAAACTTAAAAAAAAAAAAAAAGAAAGAAAATGTAGGGAGGAAAGAAAACTGCATTTGCCGCAAATACGCAGACTTTTCGGTGTCTTGATTCCCTGCATGCAGTCTGCTGCCTGTTCGCACAGCGTCCGCTCCGCGCACGGGGTTGGAAGTAACTAGAGATGACCCAGAGCAGGGTCATCCGCAGACACGATGCTGTTTTACAGAAAGGACCTGCGTACCTGCAGATTTTGGGGTCCGCGGGGGCCCTAGGACCAACTCCCCCCAGGCCAGGGGTGACCACAGCTGTGCGTCACAGTCCTGACTCTCTGCACCCGACCGAGGCGTTTCCCGCCTCCTGGGCGGGAGCGGCCCCGCGCCTCACCTGAGGGCCCAGGTTAAGGTAGCAGTCGACGGACAGCACCGGGTGGCTGAGGTTCTTCAGGGCCAGCGGGAAGAAGCGGTGGCTGTGGTACTGCAGGAACTTCTCCAGCAGGAGCTGGGCGGGCGCCGCCAGGAATGTGTGCTTGCTGTCGGGGGCACAGATGTACTGTGCGGGCAGCACAGCCGCGGCATTCTCCGACACCTGCGCGGGAGGAGGGTGTCGGGCAGCGCCACCGGCCCCGGGGATCAGAGCCCGGCCGGAGGCTGGGGCGGGGGGAGGCCCCACCACAGAACCGTGGGAACGGAGGACACACGGTTCGGGAACAAATCCTCCAGTGCGAGGCACGGGACAGCTCGTGGGGTGGTCGGTCTCCTCGCACGATGGCAGCCTCTGGGCGTGGACTTAGCACCCTCTCAGCCGCGAGGCACCAAGGGACTGGTGCGCTCAGCCAATATGGAATGAACAGATGAAAATAATCAGAGGCTCACTCATGAAACACTAGAAAACAGTCCGAGATGTCCTGCAACTAACCGCTGTGCAATGACCCCTAGTGGGAAAATAAGACAGGTTCAAAGCAAGAATAAAGACAAAATACCTAAGAGTTTAAAGACAACACCAAGGGACGTAAAAGAGCAGGCCTTAGGCACACGTGGGGTGGGGTGGGGGGCATGCCTGTGATGCCAGCACCCCACAGTGAGTGTCTGTTCCAGGGCCAGCTGCTCCGATTCCAACCCAGCTCCCTGCTGACGCACTGGGGGGTGGGAGGGCAGCAGCAGATGGGGACCTGCCTCCCATGTGGGAGACCCAGATGAAGCTCCTGGCTCTCAGCCTCAGCCTGGCCCAGTGCCAGCCACTGTAGGCATTTGGGGGGTGAATCAACAGATAGAAGATGGATTGGCTGATCTCTCTCTTCTCTGTATGTGTAACTCTGCCTTTTAAGTAAATAAATCTTACAAGATTTATTTTATTTATTTGAAAGGCAGAATTACAGAGAGAGGGGGAGCCAGAGAGAGATCTTCCATCTGCTAGTTCACTCTCCCGATAGCTGCAACACCCAGGGTTAGGCCAAGCCGAGGCCAGGAACCAGGAATTCCATCCGGGTCTCCCACGTAGGTACAGCGGCCCAGGTATTTGGGACATCTTCCGCTGCCTTCCCAGGCACATCAGCAGGGAGTCAGATCAGAAGTGGATGGGGCTGGCGCTGTGGCACAGCAGGTTAATGCCCTGGCCTGCAGTGCCGGCATCCCATGTGGGCGCCAGTTCTAGTCCTGGCTGCTCCTCTTCCGATCCAGCTCTCTGCTATGGCCTGGGAAAGCCAAGGAAGATGGCCCAAGTCCTTGGGCCCCTGCACCCACATGGGAGACCCGGAAGAAGCTCCTGGCTCCTACCTTCGGATCGGTACAGCTCCAGCCATTGTGGCCATCTGGGGAGTGAACCAGCTGATGGAAGACCTCTCTATCTCTACCTCTCTCTGTAACTCCTTCAAATAAAATTAAAAAAAAAAAAAAACACAACAACACAGAAGTGGAGCAGCTGGGGCATGAACTGGTGCCCATGTGGGACGTGGGCGCCACAGGCAGAGGCTTAACCTACTATGCCACAGCACCGGCCCCAGGTCTTTTGCTGAAGTCTTGCTACTTTGCAAGGCCAGCGAGAAAGGGCTTCCACTCCCAAGCAGGCTTAGGAGTGGGGGCAGCCAGGGGAGGGGCTGGCTCAGGGCAGGGGGGCAAATCCGTGTGCATTACTGTGACCAGCTGGGACTGGGGCTGGCTGAAGTGATCCAGGGCAAGGTTCAAGAGACGGGCCAGAGCCCGCAGGGTCACAGGGACCCGAGGCGGGGACGCAACAGCCCGTCGGGCTTCCTGGAGGGCTCTGGGCTCCGAGGGCTTGCTGCACTTTCACATCTTCAACTGCCCAGGCCTCTCAGCCAGAAGAGCCCCACGGTCAGACCATGGTTCTCCCCACCAGGGCCGGCCCTGACAGACGCGTGGCCACCCAGCAAGCCTGCTGCTGTCACATCACGCAGTTATCTGAGCAGACATCACGGGGGGGGGGGGGGGGGGGGACAGAGAAGGGCCTGGCAGTGGCCCTGCACCAGCCGGAGCTCTCAGCATACGTGCTGAAGTCCAAGGGCAGCAGGGACCCCCAGGGGGTCACTCACCTCCCAGCGTCCACGGCCAGCGGAAAACCCCGAGCAAGCTTGCCCGAGGGCCAAGCCCGGCCTCCGCCAGCAGCTCCCTACGCAGCAGGCTCACCTTGGAGGTGATGTGGAAGGACCGGTGCCCGCCCACAGCGATCTGCTTCTTCATCACGCTGAAGCGGTTGAATCGGCAGAGCAGGAGGCCGGCGCTGTGCACCCGCAGGTTGAAGTCCACGTCGTCACAGGTGAACCTGCCCAGAGCCAGAGGAGAAGCAATAGGACCTGCCGAGCCCACAGGCTGCCCCCACCTCCTACCCCGCCCCGCCCCTGGACACTGTCCAGACACCTAAGGTGTGGTCCCTGGGGTAGGCAGCCACCGAGGGGGACTGGGCTCGGTTACTGGGATACGAGGCAAAACCGACCGGTGAACCAACAAGGCTAACTGTGAACTCTCCGCTCTGGGAGGACCTCCCTCCACCCCCACCCCTGCTGTACACCAGGCACTGTGTGGGAAACCCACAGGCACCGGGCCGCTCATCTACCACAACGAAGCCCCAGGGTGCCAATCCCAGCCAGGCTTGATAGCCGAGGGGCGCGAGGCTCAGAGACGGTACAGTCACCGGCCCAGCTGCAGAGCTGATCTGCAGCAGAACCCGGCCTGCCAGCAGCCCTGTCTGACTCCAAACCACACCCCTAAGGCACCCACATGGGCCGTGTACCATCTGCCTGGCAGGGAGAGCCCTCGGCCAACACCGAGTGGCGAGTTATCTGTGAGCCGTGAACCCTTCTGTGGCTAGACACAGAAGGCGCCCCGTGGAAGCTACTCCATGGCTTTTCTCAGGCTCAAAGCTCCTGAAATCAGTGTATTCAGAGACAGACCCAGACAGCAAAGAAACTAAGTACAACAGTCACTAAGTACCCTGCGAATCGGAGGATGAACGGAATGATCTTTTTAAGAAATTTTTATTTATTTGAAAAGCAGACAGAGGGGCCAACACTGTGGCATTGAGGGTTGGGCCTCCACCTGCAGCACCGGCATCCCATGTGGGCACCAGTTCGAGTCCCAGCTGATCCACTTCCAATTCGGCTGCCTGGGAAAGCAGCGGAGGATGGCCCTAGGGCTTGGGTCCCTACACCTGTGTGGGAGACCTGGATGAAGCTCCTGGCTCCTGGCTTTTGCCTGGCCCAGCCCCAGCCATTGTGGCCATTTGGGAAGTGAGCCAGCGGACGGAAGACTTCTTTCTCTGTCCCTCCCTCTCTCTCTCTCTGTAACTCTTTCAAATAAATAAAATAAATCTTTAAAAAATAAATAAATAAAAGGCAGACAAAGAGAGATCTCCCAGTGCTGGTTCACTTTCCAGACGCCTACAACAGCTGGGGCTGGGCCAGGCTGAAGCCAGGAGCCAGGAAGTCAACCCAGCTCTCCCATGTGGGTGACCAGGGCCCAGCCACTTAAGCCATCTCTTTCTACCTCCCAGGGTCTGCATTAGTGGGAGGCTAGTGTCGGAAGCTGGAGCTCGGATTCCACTCTGTGCTGTGGGTGTCACAGAGGTGACTTAGGTGCTGTACCAGATGCCTGTCCCAGGTTGACCAGTTGTGTGCAAATACACAAAATTATACAGCACTGGAAACCCTGTGAGCCTGGCCAGCACCCCGGGCAAGGAGCCCCTGCCGCTGGCTCTGTGGGGCAAGGTGAGACAGGCCTCAGGTCGCCTCTGTGCTGCTGGCCGCCTCCCGGCCCGGGGCAGGCCCTCACCGGTTCTGGTTGTACTGCACGTTCTGGGTCAGGTCCACGTTCAGGATGACGAAGTCGTGCACGTGGCAGCGGGAGAAGGGCTCGCGCACCTGGCTGGCCCTGGTCTTGCTGGACCACTTGCGCATGCCGATCAGGGCGTAGTGCGTGATGTCGGGCGCCGCCTCGATGTGCTGCATGATGTGTTTCAGGGACACGTTCCTCTCCGTCCAGGAAAACTCCCTGCTCAGGGAGGGAGACGGGTGTCCCGAGGCCAGCACGTGAACACGGCAGGGCCCCGGCTTCCCACCTGGACCAGATGTGCCGGACGGGGCAGGTGCAGGTGAAACCCAGCATGACCCCAGCAGGTGCCGCGCCTTTAGCACTTATTATCAGCACATCCTGGTGTGAAACGGGCTTCCGCTCTGCATGCTGAACACACCCGGGCCCACGGTGTGGTTAACCCTCACAACACGCCTCCAGCACAAATGTTAATGCACGTTTCAAAGACAAACAACCTGGAACCCGACAGATGAGCCGTCTGCCGTAGTCGCCCAGCTAGGCGTTGGAGGGCAGGCTGGAGGGGAGGGCCGGGGCTGGCTGGCAGCAGGAAGGGGAGCCGGAGAACCAGAGGAGCCCACTTCCGGCTGAGGGCATCAGTCAGAGGGGTGCGCTCAGCCTGAGCAAAGCCCTGGCCACGTCGCAGACTTGGCTTTCTGTACGTGGTCGTCCCTCGATCCCCAGGGAGGACAAGGCCAGGCCCCTCGCGGCCCCACGGCATCTCACCTGCTCCTCTCCCCGGCACAGTCCACGTCCGCCGCGTTCCACATCACGCAGGAGTCGTCGGAGATGACGATGAAAGGCCAGATGTCCTGCGGCTTGATCCCAAGCTCCTCCTGCCGGCTCCGCTCCAGCTCCAGGTTGTGGTAGGACAGCTCCTTGATCAGGAAGTGGGCGGCGCCTACAACAGAGCGACCCTGGACTCGGCTCCGCCCTACACCCGCCTCCATCCAGGACACAGCCCAGTCCACCTGCTCACCAGGGCTGCCCGCCCGGACAAGCCGGCCCGAGGGTCCTCCCACCGACCAGGGAGAAAAGCCCTCTCCTGTTTGCTCATGCATTTTGTCTCTCTGTGCTCTCTTTTCTAACAGTGGGAAACACAAACTAAATCAGTCACCACACATTAACAAATGGGATATTTACAGTCAAATACAATAGCTTTGGAAGTCCAAAAGCAGGAGCCTGCCGTTAGCCTGGCAGTTAAGATGTAGGACACCCACGTCCTGCATCAAAGTGCCTGGGTTGGAGCCCAGACGCAGCAGGGACGGCTCAATAGTGGGGGTCCCGGCCCCTCAAGCGAGACCTGATTTGAGTTCCCCTCTCCCAGCTCTGGCCCCCTGTGGGCATCTGGGGAGGGAGCCAGTGGACGGGAAGCCCCCCGACCCCCACCCAAACCAGCAAGCAAGCAAATGAAGAAATCGAATGTTTGACAGTGCCAAGAGCAGTTCGGCTCGCCCAAGTCTACACTGTCCTGGCCAGCCTCACCGCAGACGCCTGCCTCCCCGAGCAGGTCCGCGAGCCGCGTACCCACTCCAGCGCTGTTGAAGATGCTGGGCAGCACGAGCATGATGTGGTTGGGCCAGTACTTCTTGTAGATAGCCATCTCGTACTCCTTGACCACCAGCACGTGCAAGTGGCTGGCGCCGTCCATCGCGTGGTACAGGTTGAAGAGCCCGTGCTCGTGCCGCCCGGTCGTGGGCGTGAACGTGGGGCTCTTGATGTATTCGCGACTCTGCAAAGCACAGGCACAGTGAGTGGGCGTGTCTAGGCAGACAGGGATCCCCTCTGCGTCGTCCACAGCAAGACAGGGTCTGGGTCTGCACTTCTAGAACCTCAGGCAGCCTCGGGATTTTGCATTTACCAGTAAAAGGCAGGAAACGTGGCCGGGTGCCAGCCCCCTCTCCATGAGCAAGCTCTCGAAGCCTGCGGAGGGGTGGCAGGCCACGTGGAGCACAGGTGTGCATTCCAGCAAAGGCCACCGTAGACCAGCCCACACCCCACAGCAAAGCCAGACTCCCGACCAAGGCCACAACAACCACCCAGCCGAACCCTGCCCACACAGCTGACTTGCTTGGGAATGGCTTATAATGAAATTAAACTAACCAGCACATATTAGTCCGCCACATTCCGCACCCTCTCGTATTGGAATCTAAGCTAACTCTGTGCTCCCAGTTCATGCTACTCCCATAGGTCTCACAGCCTCCACACACGGACAGAGACAGGCTCAGAGACAACGCGCTAGACAACACCATGAGTAAATGGTAGAGCAACACTGGAACTTGAATCTGAGCGGCTCCACGGCCCAGGGCTGTACCTGCCTCCTCCCAGGTCAGGCACCAAGCAGGTTCAGCACCGCTCCGCCTGGGTCCAGGCCCCCAGCTCAGGGATCCCCAGAAGCTACTCTGATGTGCCACACAGGGTGCCGAGTGTGTACCTTGTCTGTGACCAGCGGCAGCCGCATGCTCTCCAGCTGGCCTCCGGGTTGGCTGAAGACGAAGTGGTGCTCCTTGGACTTGGGGATGATGAAGTGGAGCCGGATCTCCTCTCCTAGCATGGAGTAAGAGAAGGCAAAGGCGTGCAGGGTGGACTCATAGAGCTGGGGTGTGAGGGAAAGGACAGAGCTTGTCATCAGAGTCTGGCCGACTTCCCAGAAGAACCCAGGCCCAGCCTGGCCATGACGGCACGCAGGCCATGGCCGCCTCTGCCCCACAGCACCAGAGACCCCAGGGTGGCTTCAGTGCCAAGCGTGCAAGCCCAGGTCTGGCTACAGAAGCACACACCTGAGGTGAAGGCCTACCCAAGTGCTAGAGTGCACCCACCCTGAATGCCAATCACACGGCTGTGGGCACCTCACTCCAGCCACCAAGCCCGCTGCCCCCTGGATGACCGAGTCCACATTCACACCACAGATTTCATTTTTCATTCTAATCCATATGTTCCAGGCACAGTTACCATGTGCAGTTGCATATGAATGTGACAGCAGTAACTGCATATGCAGGTAATTTTGTGCACCAGGCATCCATCTGTCCCCTTCACACTGTAAGTAACAATCCTAGGAGGTGGGCACTGCTGTCAGCCCCATTTCACAGGCATGAGAACTGAGCTTAGAGCTTGGGGGTTCACTCCTGCCCTAAGTCCAGCCTCGCCCCTGTCCCTTCCCCCGCCTCTGCTTCCCAGCTGGCCTGCACCCTCACATCCACGCACCTGCTCTCTCTGCACCCCCACATCCACGCACCTGCTCTCTCTGCACCCCCACATCCACACATCTGCTCTCTCTGCACCTCACATCCACGCACCTGCTCTCTCTGCACCCCCACATCCACGCACCTGCTCTCTCTGCACCCCCACATCCACGCACCTGCTCTCTCTGCACCCCACATCCACCCACCTGCTCTCTCTGCACCCCACATCCACCCACCTCTCTCTGCACCCCCACATCCACCCACCTGCTCTCTCTGCACCCCCACATCCACGCACCTGCTCTCTCTGCACCCCACATCCACCCACCTGCTCTCTCTGCACCCCACATCCATGCACCTGCTCTCTCTGCACCCCACATCCACGCACCTGCTCTCTCTGCACCCCACATCCACGCACCTGCTCTCTCTGCACCCCCACATCCATGCACCTGCTCTCTGCACCCCCACATCCACCCACCTGCTCTCTCTGCACCCCACATCCACCCACCTGCTCTCTCTGCACCCCACATCCACGCACCTGCTCTCTCTGCACCCCACATCCACGCACCTGCTCTCTCTGCACCCCACATCCACCCACCTGCTCTCTCTGCACCCCACATCCACCCACCTCTCTCTGCACCCCCACATCCACGCACCTGCTCTCTCTGCATTCCCACATCCACACACCTGCTCTCTCTGCACCCCACATCCATGCACCTGCTCTCTCTGCACCCCCACATCCACGCACCTGCTCTCTCTGCACCCCCACATCCACGCACCTGCTCTCTCTGCACCCCCACATCCACGCACCTGCTCTCTCTGCACCCCACATCCACGCACCTGCTCTCTCTGCACCCCACATCCACGCACCTGCTCTCTCTGCACCCCCACATCCACGCACCTGCTCTCTCTGCACCCCACATCCACCCACCTGCTCTCTCTGCACCCCCACATCCACCCACCTGCTCTCTCTGCACCCCACATCCACCCACCTGCTGCTGTCTGCATCCCCACATCCCCACACCTGCTGCTGTCTGGCATGGCCTCCAGCTGGGCTTGTCCTCAGCTCGGGCAGCCTCTTAAGGGCACTGGCTCACAAGACAGGAGAGACAGGAGGCAGAGCACCTACAATGGTTCTGTGCTCCAGCCAGGGCCCTACTGAGGTCACGGAGCTTTGGGAACAGTGAGAAGGGAGTAAGAGCCCGGGATTTGGAGAGGAAGCAAAGGGGAATGCAGCCAAGGAAGAGTCACCAACAGGTCTAGGGTTCTGGGAGCTGATAGAAAGAGGACAGAGCGGGCAGAGGCAGGGAGGGGCAGCCAGGAGCCAGCCTTTGCCCTCGGGACCTCGCACGGGCCCAGCTTAACACCCCTCACCACCTTGGACATGGTCCCAGGCTGTGACCCCAGATCTGGGCACCCCCAGCGAGCCAGGCCCCGGGGCTCGTTCCTGTGCAGCCCACGGGCGAGGGAGCGTCTCTGCCTTCATCTGAAATGACCACTGCCCACACTTCCAGAAATCAGCCTGACTCACACCCTCGAGTCCACCCCAGCTCCTGATACCCCCAAATCAGAAAAGCTGTCCACATGTGTTTTGTGAAACTTTGAAAGAAAACCTTCATTTCAAGAACAACTCATGTTCGGAAAGTTTATCTGCAGCAAACAGGATTACTCAGCAGCTGAGGGGCACTGCTCTGGCTCTGCCCACGGACACCAAAACCTGCAGCCATGCGGGGTCGGCACAGGCAGAAAATGTACTGCTGGCTGAGCCCGGGGAAGCGTCAGACAGACGGCCAAGGGCATTCTGAGCCTCTGAAGATTTGCTTATCCTTTCTAATTCCATCTGCAGGAAAAGCGCATTCTTTTTTTTAATTAGTGCTACAGGAAGACAGGCGTTGCTGGCCACTGTGCAGTGTCTCGCACATTGCCTGGCACACAGTAGGCGCCCAATGCATGCAGATTCCTCTCCAGTAATCAGGCTCTCTGGCTCGCCCGCTCTGCTCTGACACTGCTGGTGTGCGTCCACTCCCAGGTGGTGAGTGGTAAGGATGGAGACTGAATCCACTCACACCCGCAGCCCCAGGACCTGGCACACAAGCACCCGGTGAGTGCCACCAGACTGATTCCTAGAAGCCCCAGGTTCCAGAGACGACAATGACAGCCGTGCCAGTGACCCCGGCTGTGTTGCTGTCCCATGGGGTCAGCAAGACCCTCACAGACGCTGAGGGCATCGGAGACGCCAGGGGAGCAGGAAGCAAGTCTGCAGAGGCGGGACCAGGGTGAGACACGCGCCGGCAGCCGCTGGACCCGTGGCCCAGGACGGGGGCCGTGGCATCGCGGGGCCTACCTGGTAGCGGGGGTGGAAGCCCATGTACTGGTGGCACTGCTCGCAGTGGTGGTACGTGTCGTAGGCTGCGTACTTGGACAGCCTCATCCGCGCTGTCTGGCGTCGCACGTACAGGTCCTCGGGCTTCCGAGACGTCCCCCCGTCTGCACAAAGTGCCCGGATGTTAGGGAGCAGCAGCAGGAAGTGAAACAGCTTCATCCCCTGCCTCCTCAGCCTCAAACCAACGAGGCGCTCACAGGAACCGGCCGGGTGGCGGACCTTTGGCAATGGACGAGGCTGGCCTCCCACATCCCGCCCCACGTGGCTCTACCACGGAGGGAGGCCACAGCCTGGGGGGACAGACTCAGAGACTGCTGGTGCAATGCCTCACGCGTGCACCCTGCATCCTCCTCCCCACGGGACGACGGACACTGGTGCAACTAAACACGCAAATCCTGCAGTGCCTGCTGGCAACCACGGTGGCTCTACCACGGAAGGAGGCCACAGCCTGGGGGGACAGACTCAGAGACTGCTGGTGCAATGCCTCACGCGTGCACCCCGCATCCTCCTCCCCACAGGACGACGGACGCTGGTGCAACTAAACACGCAAATCCTGCAGTGCCTGCTGGCAAGGTTATCTGGATGCCACACCGCCATCAGAGCCGCTCAACGGGAACAGAAGAGGGAGCAATGCAGACAAAACTGTTGGTCTGAAATGGAGACCTCACACGGAATGTTCTAGACGCTCCGAGTCTGCGCTTACGATCCCACTAGCCGCTGATGCACCGTGGGAGGCAGCGAGCCCCACGGGTCCCGACTGACTCAGACAAACCCACAGCTGCCACCCTCTGGCAGCCAGAGCCTTTGGCACACTCTGACCACGACCAATCAGCAAGCGGTGCCATCGCCACTCGGCAGTGCCCAAGCAGCAAGGCTCCTCTCGCAGGATGGGCGGTGGTCTCTCCCTCATCCGGGAGGTGGGGACCTCGGTTCCACGCCAGGCACTGCTCATGCGTTCACCACCTCCAGCTTTCCTGGCTAACAGCAGCGAGCGAGCCCCTGTAACGGGCTCCGCCCGTGGGCTCGGGGACGAGGGGGAGCGGGCGAGCACCTGACCTTCACTCGCGACGCTCTGCTGGTGGGAACAAATCAGACTGGCATCCTCGTACTTGGGGTCGTGAATGATGTAGTCGAAGGGCAGCTTCTTGAACAGCTGCAGCTCCGGCCAGGGGTCGCTGAGCTGCAGGTAACGCCAATCCGATTCTTCCCCGAGGCCTGGGGATGGGCAGAAACGCGGGTATGTGACACAACAGGAAGCGAGAGGGAGTTGCCGTGTGCAGCAGAACTGGGCGAGGTCCGTGGGTTCCTGGGCGAGCCCACAGCATCGTGAAGGCTCCTGGCACATACGCTGTTTTCAGGACGGTTCCCGCGAGGCCAGGTGCACCCACATCTACTCTGCAGAGACGGACAGGCTCGTGCTGCTTCCCACGAGATGGCTCTGCCCTCGGCCCCTCATGCTGACCTCTCATCCTCCCAGGTCCTGAGCCCACCCACAGGAGTCCTACGCCTCTGCTTCTCCCCAGCACCAGGCCTCAGTCTACCTCGCTGGCTCCTAGCACCAGGGAAACACAGGAGAGCCCCTTCTTGTCTCCAAATATCCCAACGCTCCCAGCCAGTGCAGCTCAGCTCCGACCATGCCACCACCAGAGAGTGCTCCCATGTGCCCAAGCCCACGGTTTTCCCCTCTCAATACCAGCAAACCGGGTGCCCAACCACACACTGGCATTTGCCATCTATCACCCTAAGTCATGCTAGGGACACAGTACTCACTAAATGCTTATTGGCTAAAGGGGTAAAACCATGCAGTTGATCCGTCTCACATTATGTATTATATAAATATTAACATATGTATGAACACAAGGCAGGGTGCTTGTCCATAGCAGGAAGTGGAAGAATATTCACCATGAATTTAACAGGTGCTAAGTGTGTAACGGCATGCTGTTATAACACCTGTCTAACAGGAAGTGTCCCTGTCTTACGGAAGAAGAAACTTAGGCCATAAGAAGGATTTAAGACAATGGACTTTGGAGCCGGTGCTGTGGCACAGTGGGCTAGGCCTCTGCCTGCAGCGCTGGTATCCCATATTGGGCACCGGTTCTAGTCCCAGCTGCTCTTCTTCCAATCTGGCTCTCTGCTATGGCTTGGGAAAGCAGTAGAAGATGACCTAAGTGCTTGGGTCCCTGCACCTGCATGGGAGACCCAGAAGAAGCTCCTGGCTCCGGACTGGCTCAGCTCCAGCTGTTGTGGCCATCTGAGGAGTAAACCAGCAGATGGAAGACCTCTGTCTCTCCCTCTCTGTAACTCTGCCTCTCAAATAAATAAATCTTTGAGGCAAGAACAGGATTTGATGTTTAACACAGTGGCTCCAAGTCCCGTCTTCGTCATTAGCATATCCCACAGAGTGAGGAGACAGGAAACTCAACAGCCCAGTGGCTTTCGTCAGAATGCAGTTCCCAAACCGTGGGGAAGGCACAGGAAACTCGGAACCTGGCTGACAGCCCCTTCCCCTCCAGGGAAGACCGAGGCTGGCCGGCCTCCTGGGCCCACACCCCCATGTCACAGCCCCAGCACAGCCGAGGCATCACCCAAGGCGCCGTCAGACGCCAGCACGGCCACAGAGGCCCCCACACTCGGTCTCATGCCCAGAGCCGCGGGTTCACCTCCCAGACGGAGCTGACGAGCCCTGGGAGGGGACAAGGGCACTCACACAGCCTCACTGTACCCAGGGCAGGTTCTGCAGGACAGCCGGAGCTCCCGCAATGCCCCCAGCTCAGCTACTGAGGAGGAAACTCCTCTGTGGGTTCCCCACCCTCCACAGGGGACGTCACATCCAGTTAACCCCAGCTCAGCATGCGACCTGTCAGCAAGGTGGAATACCAACACCTATCTCACGCCGTCGAAGTGTGGCACTTTATGGGGCGTGCCCAGTGCACTGGCAGGGGATCCCTAAATAGCAGCTGCTTTAGTACCGGTCGCCGCATCCCTACACAGCTGCCCAGGCAAGCGTCCTGCAGGCTCGTGCTGCTTCGTGAACCGCGAGTCCCGTCGGGAAGGGGAAAGGCGCTTTTACAGGAGACGCCGAGTGAGCTACGCCAGGCCCGAGGGTCCGCAAACAGAACTCACGGATATTGACCTCCTCTTCATCGTAGACGTCCACCTCCGTCAGCCGAATGAGCATCCGGGACAAGATGCCCAGGAACTGCAGGTAGGCGCCTGTCTTCCCGATCTGCAAAGACAGCCAATTGGAGCCCACAGCCCAGAGGCCCCGCCCACACACTGGGCTCCGGCTCGGCCACTGGCCGGGCCTCCTGCCACTCATCTCATGGACAGACCAGGTCTATGCAAAGGCATTCAAGGGAGTGCAGCCTAAAGCAGGCGGCAGGCAGACAGGTGGACTCCAGGAGCAGGTGGGCTGCCTGCTCAGAGGGCATCCCAGGCGCACCTGCTCCTCGTCACCAGCCCCGTCCGTAGGCTGCTTTCAATGTCTTAAGAGCTCCTTGGGGGCGGCGCTGTGGTGCAGCGGGTCAAAGCCCTGGCCTGCAGTGCCAGCATCCCATGGGGCGCTGGTTTGAACCCCAGCTGCTCCACTTCTGATCCGGCTCTCTGCTGTGGCCTGGGAAAGCAGTGGAAGATGGCCCAAGGGCTTGGGCCCCTGCATCCCCGTGGGAGGCCCAGAGGAAGCTCCTGGCCCCTGGCTTGAGATCGGCACAGCTCCAGCCATTGTGGCAATTTGAGAAGTGAACCAGCGGATGGAAGACCTCTCTCTCTCCCCGCCCCCTTTCTCCCTCTCCCCCTCTAACTCTTTCAAATAAATCATCTTTTTAAAAAATTTTAAAAAGAGCTCTCTGTACAACTGCAAATTGCCTATTTTCAGATTAAGTGAATTAACATGAATGATCTATGTCTTTTTTTTTTTTAAGGTTTATTTTACACAGAGGGATCTTCCATCCACTGGTTCACTCCCCAGATGGCTGCAAAAGCCAGGGCTGGGCCAGGCCCAAGCCAGGAACCTGGACTCCATCCGGGTCTCCCGCATGGTGGCAGGGGGCCGGCCGCAGGCCGCTGCTTGCGCAGGTGCATTAGCAGGGAGCTGGCTGGAACGGAGGCAGCTGAGACTCGGCCGGGCACTCTCTCAGGGGACGCCGGAGTCGCAGGTGTCGGCTTAACCTGCTGCACCACAGCGACAGCCAGAAACCGCCTGCTTCTATCGCTGTCTACATAAGGTCAAAGTTCACCGCTAAGACACAAAATGGCACCTCACTTCTCTCCTCCCCAGCCCAGGGAGAGAAAGCTTCTCCTCTTCTTCCTCTGCCACAGATCCTGCACCCCCCGCCCAGCAGGCGACTACTCGCAGCCACTCCCAGTGCCTCCCGGTAACAGCCAATTCCAGGGGCGCCACAGGCAAGCCCGGGCCCTCCCTGCTCCCATCCCCACAACACAACTGCTCCAGGCCAGCTTCCAAGCCCTGAGCTCAAGACCTGGTCCGCAACAAGAACTCGGCGAACACTGGTGAATGGGAACAGCATCCAAAAGGAGACTAACACGAAGCCGGGAAAACTCGGAAGTGTCTGCAACCCGAGCAACAGGCCCAGGGTGAAGACCCTCAATATGTAAAGAGTCCCTACCAATCAACAAGAAAATCAGAGAAACAAAATCACTGGAGGGAAATATCAATGAACAAATAACAATGCATTCTGGGGTCAGCGCTATGGCACAGTGGGCTACGCTTCTGCCTGCAGCGCTGGCATCCCATATGGGCACCAGTTCTAGTCCCGGTTGCTCCTCTTCCAATCCAGCTCCCTCTATAGCCTGAGAAAGTAGTGGAAGATGGCACCTGTGTGGGAGACCCTGGAGGAAGCTCCTGGCTTCGGATCGGCGCAGCTCCAGCTGCTGCAGCCATCTGGGGAGTGAACCAGCGGATGGAAGACCTCTCTCTCTGTATCTCCCTCTCTCTGAAACTCTATGTCTCAAAGAAATAAATAAGTCTTTTTTAACAAATGCAGTTGTGTTTCTAGTCCCCTCAGTAATGACACTATACTATGTTCACACACCAGAGGGGCAAAAATTCTAAACATCAGTAACATCCAGCAGGATGAAGATGGAAAAAAATTTTTTTTCCTTTTTTTTTTCAAATTAGAAAACGTAATATATGCTCATTTTCAGTAGTCAAAAAATGCAAACTATATTATTTTCAGACACATCTACTGATGTGTCTTCCTGACACCACACCACACAAACGTGTGTGACTCTGCCAATGAACTATTTAAATTCCTCCGAGAAATTCCACCAGCAGCCGAGAGACCGAGCTCAATTCCTACAGCTGAATCGCTCCACCCGGGTGTGCCCCGATGTAGTCCACCAAGACCTGGCTGTGGACTCTGCTTCCAGGCTGTTCCCCAGGGTTAACACACACAGCCGAGCATTCGACACGTGGCTCTGCGGGGCGGACCCCTGGGGAGGGACTTGCTGGGGCCAAGGCAGCACAGCCCCACAGTTCCCACATCCTCTCGGCCTGCTCAGGGGAGGACCGGAGTCGCGGGGAGGTCCACACTTGCCCTGGTGTCAGGTCACGGCTGAGCCCCATCCTCGGCCCTTCTCCCACGCTCGCCACCAGACAGACACTCGTGCCCTTAGCAATCGCTGCCCGAGTGGTCGGCAGGGAAAAGCAGCGAGTTGGGGGAGGGCTGAGACGGGGACGCAGAGTGCCCCCAGCTCCTGGTTCCACAAACCCCCCGTGCAGAACCGGGCCGTGGGCTTCCGCAGTCACAGGGCATGCAGCCCTCACAGGCAAGGCCACGTGCGGGAAGCCAGACGCGTAATCTGCAGGCGGGGAGCTGCCCCCAGCACCACGCATGGGAGGAGACAGCAGGCCGAGGTGGCAGACAAGCCCCGCCCTCCATCAGAGAAGAAACCCAGGAAACGGCGAGAGGGGAAGGGGGCGGGCACTGTCGGCCCCAGGCCACGCCCCCAGCGATGACCTGAGTCCTGGGGGACACCTGGGGACAGCAGGCGTGGGACCCACCTGGGGCGGCCCGCTGAGCAGCAGCCGGCGGGGGTGGAAGCTGTCCACGCGGCCCTCGGCCCGGTTGCCGTAGTCCATGTGGCTGGGCCGCGGCACCGTCCACTGCCGGTAGTACAGGGACTGCTCCGTGGACGTCATGGCCTTGCTGAGCAGCGGGCGGAAGGAGCTGGCCCACATGACCGAGGGGGAGGGCAGCAGCGAGGCGGCCTTGGGCAGGCCGCTGCTGTCGGTGGCCAAGACCATGTCGTACACCAGCTTGGGGAGGAAGACGATGGGCGGCTGCCGGCAGGCCTTGGCCAGGGAGCACTGTGGGGCCTGCAGGACCAGGGCGCTGCTGGCGGCGGCCGAAGCCGAGGAGCACGAGCCCGAGGAGGACGGCTGGCAGGACGAGGTGACCGCCGCGTGCAGGCTGCGCCGCCCGGGGCTGTGTGTGCTGGCGGCGGGCGGGGGACCCTGGCCGGCCCGGCTCCTTGGTTTTTCCCCGGGGACCCTGCCCTCCTCGGAAGGGCCGCAGGCCGGGGGCGACCTGGCCTGCTCTCTCTGCAGGGGCCCCGCGGGCGGAGCCCCAGCCTCGCCAGCGAGCGCTGAGCCTGAGGAGAGAAGACGGGGTCAGGGGCGTCCCACGGGAGCCTGTGCGAAGCCTGCCAGCCGCTCCCATGGCTGCCCGGCTCCCTGAGCTGTCTCGGGTGGCAGGAAGTGGCCCGGGGCTTGGAGCCAAAGCCCCGGTGGGCCCTGCCCCAGGCCACACAACAGGGTCACCCAGTGGCCCCCCGCCGGGCCCCCTGCACCCGAGGCTGGAGCTGCTGGAGCTCCCAGAGCCCAGGCCCTGCACCCCTGCCCTTCAGGGCCTCTGCCCGGGAAGCTCCTCCCACTCGGGCCACCTCCTCCAGGGCCCAGCCAAGGAACCCTCAGGGCAGGCGGCAGGGGGCGGGGCCAGGGGCCAGGGGGAGGAGTTTTTGTTCCTAGCTCCTCCCCCTTCTGCCAAGGGTGGTCCAAGGCCTGGGGTCATGAGTCCTTGCAGTGAAACCTCCCATGTCTACTCACCTGGACAGGGACACCCCACCCCCATCCCCACCCTCAGCCAGGTGCTTCCCAAAGCAGTAGCATCATGAGGATACGGCCACCACCCCCAAGATGGCCCTGGCCGGGGTGGACCCCATGGTCCTCTCCCAGCCCGCCCCTCCCCTCAGTGTCCCAGCCCGCGGATCCCAAGTTCACCCCAGGCCCGCTCCCTGGAGGACCCAGCTCTTCAGAGACTGACCCCATGGAGCTACACCAGTGCCAGCGAACAGCCCCGCCCCCGTGCCTTTGTTCTGGGAAGCCTCAGCCCTCACCCAGCTCGGACCCCCCCATGGGGACTCACCGGATGCCGTGGAGGACAGGGGCGAGGACGCCGAGTCCTGGGAGCAGGGCCTGTCCCTTGTCACCGGGCTTCTCCGCTCCAAGGCAGAGCCCGCTGCAAAGCACACGGGCGCTGGAAAGGCGTGGGCACCTGCGACCCGGCCGCACACCCAGCCCTTCACACATCACCCCCTGTGCCCCCACTCGCTGTGGAGCACGGAGGTGGCAGGACGAGAGAGGTGGTGGTGGCTGTGGGTGCTCCCAGGCCGTGGGCTCCCGCCCAGGCGGTGCAGCACAGAGGAGGACCGAGTGGCCAGCAGGTGGCGCTGCGGCCATCTCGTCCCACGCCACAAAGGCCTTGCGGTTCTCATGTGCTTGGCTTTCTCATCACCCTTGGCCACGGCCAGACGCCCTCCACCACTCTCCCTTACGTGGCCTATGGGAGCCCCGGTGTCAGGCTGCAGGGGGCTGCAAAGGGGACCCGCCAGCTCGCACAAACCACAGTGGTGGACAGCACAATGGTGGCTCCATTCGCGTGGGGACAGAGAAAGAGGGAGCCCGGCAACGGGCAGGAATGCAGCCGACAGTCAGAACAAAGCCTCGACCTAGCCCTAGGAGACCTCGACGTCCCTCCCACCCTCCAAGAGTTCTAGGGCGAGAAAGAACCCAGGGGGACTTCCCACTCACCCCACCCATCGGGGGGGCTCACGGGAACTGAGTGACGGCTGCTCTGGGGGCTCCCAGCCCCACGACCCCGCGGCAGGGACCCCCGGGGGACAGGCGGGCGGGCCTCACCTTCGGTCCCCGGCTCCTCCTCCTCGTTGTCCGTGCTGCTCAGTTTCTCCGCGTCGCTCTCCAAGGCCTCGCTCCTGGGCCCCTTGTCCGAGGGCAGCTCGCTGCTCACAAAGTAGGCAGCCAGGGCCAGCTCCTGCTCCAAGGCCGTCCTCGCCAAGCATGAGGAGTTGATCAGGCGCAGGTCACAGTACCTCAGGGACCTAGGAGGCGGCACGGGCACGGCCTCAGGGGGTGCCCTGTGCTGAGGCAGGCACCCGGGGCGGCAGCGACTGGGGGTCCCCGCCCTCCTCCTCCTCGTGACGCCAGGACCCGCGCCCGCGGGAAGACAACCAGGCTCCCGTGAGCCTTTGCAGCAACGCCAGCTTGCCGGCAAGGCCGCGGGGCACCTGCTGCACTTGCGACTCTACTGCATGTGATGGAAAGAGCAATGAGTTTAGGGTCAGGCGACACGGGGCTGGAACCCAGCTCGGCCACATCCACGTGACGGAACCTTCGATAACCGCGCAACTCCTCCGGGGCTTTGATTTTAACAGATTTACTTATTTACTTGAAAGGCAGAGTTGAGAGAGAGAGGGAGAGAGCGAGAGAGAGAGAGAAGTCTTCCATCTGCTGGCTCACTCCCCAGAATGGCTACAATGGCCGGGGTTGGGCCAGGCCAAAGCCAAGAGCCTGGACCTCCATCCAGGTCTCCGGCGTGGGTGCCGGGAGTCCAGCAGCAGCCCCACGGCTAACCCACAGGTGCCTTTCTGAGAAGTGGGAAAAAGCTGTCTGTGCTTCTCACTGCCATCTGCTGGAAACTGGTAAGAATTACACCATCTGCCATGACCACAGCTGACAGTGAAGGGCGCCCCCTGGAGCCAAGCCGTGGTAGCACACCCGGCCTCACCTGGGCAAGGACTCCCCGAGTGGGTCCGCCCCACTGAGGATGAGGATGCAAGGCAGGCCCTCCAGCTCCAGGTAGGTCTGGGGTCTCCACGTCGCGTCCTCGATGTTCTGCCACATCTGCAGACAGACAGAGATGAGGTCCGGAGGCCCCTTCCTCCCCAGGAGCCCGGCTGTCCGGGGCCCTCGCCACGCAGCTCTCTGTCCACTTCACTGCATTTCCCGATAGGCGTGCGCGTCCATCCCTTTCTGCACTTTATTCGTTTATTTGAGAGGCAGAGGCAGAGAAGGGGGAGGGGTGGAGGCAGACAGTGTGCCCCACCCACCAGTTCACTCGTCCAACACCTGCGGTGGCCGGCGCTGGGCTGGGCCAGGCCGAAGCTGGCAGCCAGGAGCTCCAAGCAGGTCTCCCATGTGGGCGGGAGAAACCCAGTCAGCTGAGCTCTCGCCGCGGCCTCCCAGGGTTTGCATCAGCAGAGAGCCCGAGTAAGGAGCCGGCCCCAGGTACCGAACCCAGGTACTCCAACGTGGGATACAGGCGCCAACCTCCAGGCCCTGTTCTCGAACACACTAACTGGGCAGTCTGAGCGTGTCCATTCGCAGGTCTCTGGGAGGGAGGGCCTGTGGGTGCTCCCTAACCTCTGCATTCTCTCCAGGCCTAGTGACAGCTCTGCTGGGTCAGGCATTGTGCTAGGTGAGCCCTGAGGGCTGGTCCTTGTCCCCAGCCCCTGGAGGAGGGGCGGGGACTGCAGAGACCTGGGCCCAGCCCCAGCAGTGGGGGAGGGTGGCCTCCTGAAAGGGGCAATGACCTTGAGCTGGGGTCCCCGCAGCTGGAGAAGAAACGCACCCCAGGAGGCAGGAAAAGCTGGGGCAGCCCTGGGGGTGTGAGAAAGGTACCCAGGGGAGCCGCAGGGGGCGCCGCGCCCTGGAGACGGCCCGGGCTGGGGGTGGCGGGATCCCAGGAGGCCAGCGGGGGTCCCTGGCGCCCACCTTGAGCTGCTTCACGAAGTGCTTGCCCACCGTGACGCCCGCGCTGGGGTTGCCCAGGACGATCTCGAAGCGCTCCTGCAGCGCCAGGCGCGCGCGCACGTGGGCCAGGCGCTCGTAGGCCACGGCGGCCAGCGGCGCGCAGGGCACGCGCAGCAGCACCATGAGCCCGTGGCCGCGGGGGCACTGGGCAGGCGCGTGCAGCAGGTTCTGCGCTATCTCCAGCGTCTCCACCGACGTGTGGTTCTTCATCTGCGGCAGGCCGCTCACGGCCATCAGCGCGGCGGCGTAGTGCTGCACGAGAACAAGGGTCCGGATCACCGCGCTGTGCAGGCGGGGGAACCTGCGGGGACAGAGAGCGGCCGTGACCCGGCTGCGGAGGACGCGCGGGTGCGCTTGTCCCTTGGCGCCTCCCCGCCCCTGGCGCCCCGCAGCGCAAACAGATGGAGGAGGGAAGGGCCAGCGCAGCTCTCATCGGCCCCAAGGAGGCAGGGGCAGCTCCCGGGGCTCCCCCGGGCATCGGAGAGCCTGCAGCCACACCCACAGGCCCTCAGGCCAGGGGCCAGGCCTCCACACACTGCTCCGTTTCCATTACAGGAGTCGCGTTTGACAGCAAGTCCCAAATCAGAACACCTACAGTCAAACTGACGGTTACCACGCGTCCCCACACAGAGCTGGTGGCTCCTGGAGCGGCTCCGACCCACACAACGGGCTAAAAAATAAAAGGATGGGGGCCGGCGCCGTGGCACAGAGGTTAAGCCTCTGCCTGCAATGCAGGCAACCTATATGGTACCAACTGGAGTCCTGCCTGCTCCACTTCCGATCCAGCTCCCTGCTAATGCACCTGGGAAAGCAGAAGGTGGCCCACGTGCTTGGGCCCCTGCACCCACGTGGGAGACTCGGATGAAGCTCCTGGCTCCGGTCTGGCCCAGCCCTGGCCATTGTGGCCATCTGGAGAGTGAACCAGCACATGGAAGACCTCTCTCTCTCTCTCTCTCTCTCTCTCTCTCTTTCTGCCTCTGCCTCTGCCTCTCTGTAACTCCGCCTCTCAAATAAATAAATAAATCTTAAAAAAAAGAGAGAGAAAACCTTTAATTTGAAATAAATAAAAAGGTGAAAAATTATCACCTATGTGCATATGAATCAAAATAGAAACTGGAGTAACCAGATTAATATCAGGCAAAATCAATTTTAATGCAAAGAATACCATTCTTGGGGCAGTGAACAAGATCAACAGTCCACAGATGCACCCATTGCCAATAAAAACGCAGGCAACCTCGATTATCTCTCACTTCCTTCGCACGTTCTGGGCTCTGACCTCCCATTTCTGCCCTCCCACTGACACACAACCCCACATCCTAGCACACTTCTGCCCATTCTTCTCTCTCAGGCTTTCTGGAGCGGAAGCATGGAGGCAAACACAGGAAGCCTGGGTCCCTTGGATGGAGAAACCGAGTCACTGGGAAGGGAGGGGGTGAACTCCCTTCCTGAAGTCCCAGGCTGGCCGCCCACACTGAGCATTCCTGGTAACTTCCGAGAGGGCGCGTACCTTTTGCCTAACGCTGTGACCATGGCCTCAAAGGAGCTGTCGTATCTGAGCAGGGGCAGGCTCTGTCCGGAGAGGGTGGATTCGATGAACTCGGCCAGCCCAAAGTACTTTTTATTCTCATGATACAAGTCGGCGCCCTGGAACACAGGACGGCGCCGTCAGCCACTCAGCGGTGCCTTCGTGGGGACGGCGGGGCTCCCGCACCAGGCCCGGGGGCCGCAGGAGTCGTGGCTGGCTCTGCGCCACGTGGACGGCCGTGGGCCTTCCCCTGCAGGCCCAGGGCAGCGCGCAGCCCACGCTTGGAAGGCCGCGTCCCCTTCCGTCGGGAGCGTTCCGTTCACTTGACCACAGTGTCTTCACCGAGAACACTGGCCTTTTTAACGGACCAATTTCCCTGTTCAAACTGTTTACTTCCCCAGGGTCAGCTGGCTTCAGGAAGGGACAGATGGTTCAGCTGCTACTAAAATCAGCAAACAGGTGATGCGTTTATCTAATCCACTTCTGCAACACTGACAGAAAAATCTCTCCCTCACCGGCACGGGAGCTTCCCAAAGGCTGAACCCCGGGCCCAGAGCGCAGGGTGTCCCAGTGCAGGGCCAGCCCCAGCTTCATCCCTCAGCACGGCGTGGCCTGAGCCAAGCAGCAAATCACCTGCCAGCGCCTGCCCCCAGCACGATCATCCAGGCAAGGCACCTGCAGCCTCGTAACCAGGGGCTGACACATCCCTATTCTGAGGCCCAGCAGCCGGGTTCTGGAAAGTTCCTCAGATGACTGCAAGGCACCTCAAAGAAGCCCGGAAGTTTGCGGCGACTTGGAGAATTATCCAGACTTCAGCTGCCCAGAATTCCCCAATTATCAGAACCGCTTTGGCCTTCTAGTTTAATGAGAATGAAAGCTGATAAACTGAACCCAAACTCACCAGGGCTTTGAGCCCCACTGCTTAAGGATTCGGGATGGGCAAAGCAGGAACGTTCCTAAGGCTTCTAGATGCATTGAGAGTCGCCCCGAGGGAAGCCCAGGTCCCCACAGGGTCTTCAGCCCTCTCCCTAGAGCCACCAAGAACAAATGTCCAGATGTGGCTCAGACAGCGCCGGCCAGTCGCTGGAGCCACCGAGGGAGGAGGCCAGGAAGGGTCTAAATCTAGCCCCGGGTGGACGCACAGGTCCAGGGAGCCGGCCTGAGCGAGCAGCAGCCGACTGCTCTTACTAACCATCACGCAAGCGCGCGGGCGACAGCGAGGCCCAGTGCCCCGTGGCACTCACGTTACTGTAGGAGGCCGGCCAGTGGATCTCGTTGTAGGGGCTGATGAGCGTGTGCTGGGTCTGCAGGGCGTACGGGAAGGAGGTCACATGCAGGGTCACGATGTTGGGGGCCTCCTTCACCTCCCTGCAGTTGAGCAGTCTGTCCACCAGGCCCACGCAGGGCTCGCTCTGGGAGCAGACGTTCTGAACAGCGCTGCTGCGCGGGGAACAGGAAGAGAAGAGAGAGCCAGTGAACTGCAGGTGCCGCCTTGTAACTCACGGGGATAGAGCCGGGCAATTCACTGGTGACCCAACCCCAGCTCTGCCAACCACGGACGCTTGTGGCTCTGCCACGGCTGGGAGAAATGGAGGACTGCACTCCGGCTCCCTACCACGGGCACCCCTGAAATTCATGACTTAGGAGAGGGTCAGCTGCAGTTGGGAGTTCCTGCAAGGTGCCCAGGGCACCTGCTCCCCCAGCACACCGACTCCAAACCCAGGGAGTTCTGTGGATGCTACGGAATCTGTTGGGATCCTTATCTCCATGTGCCTCGCAGCTCTTCCCTAGAGCTGACCTTGTGATCACCCAGAGAGGGCACCCTGAATTAAGACGGCAGCAGGAATGCCCGGCCCAGCCTCGGCATTCCCCACCGTAACCCCCACGGTGAGACCACTAGCAGGGCTCAGTCTTTGGCTGCCGGGGAGCCTCAAGGAGGAAGCTGCCCCCAGAGTGAATGCTCACAATATGGCTTCTCCTAGGTCTGCAGAATCAAATTCCCGCAAATCCATGCAGGGACCCCAGAGAGCAGACCCTGGATCCACACGGCCCCGGTCGATTCTAAGTGTCTGTGAATCTGCGATCACGAGAATCCCCGCTTCCTCATGGACTTCGGAGACGTCGTCTAAATGCCCGAATCCTAGGCCAGTCTCAGAAGAGCACCGATCCTGGGGCAAAGCCAGGAAACCCGCAGGCTCCTAGCTTGCCCTGTCTGAAATCCACCGAGCGCAGCACCAGCAGTGACTCTGGGTACCACCGCATTGGGAGCCTCCACCAGGGAGGGGCCGGGCTCGGCTTCCATCGGGACCCCTCCCCCACCGCACCTGCAGGGCTCCTTGTCACCTACCCAGCTGTGACTCGGGGCCTGGACTTGAGGCCACGCTCTGCCACTAACAGCCACCTGCCCCAGCCCCGTGACTGAGTGACAGGCTTCTCCCCCCGCCCTGCCCCTGCTTTCCGTAATGTGCACTTCAGAAGTTACAAGCGATGATTCCGAGATAACCTCCAGCTCTGCTGCAGAACACATCCCAGCGGCACCTGTCGCCACCCTCCCCAGTTATCCCCCAGGGGCTGCGGGGACTGCGACCTGCGGATGCCCAAGTCCCCTAGACAAGACAGGTAGTGCTTCCTTACAACTCACGCATTGCCCCCATTTACTTTAAACCACGTCCAGGTCACTGTCAACTCCTCACACAACTCAAACACAACGTACATGGCTACTTTACTCTACTGGTGAGGGAACAACGATGAGAAAAACGTCTGGACGTGTTCTGCACAGATGCAATTTGGTTCAAAACTATTTTCCATCTGTGGTCGAATCCGTGGATGTGCAACCCGCAGATGCACAGTGCCAGCTGTTTACCACTGCAAACAGGAGATGCTCTGGACACCGCAGAACGCCGGCATCCCATAACCGAGCACCAGTTCAAGTCCCAGCTGCTCTGCTTCTGATCCAGCTCCCTGCTAACGCACGTGGGAAGGCAACAGAAGACGGCCCAAGTACGTGGGCCCTTGTGCCCATGCGGGAGATTAGGATGGAGCTCCTGGCTCCTGGCTCTGGCTCTGGCCTGGCCCAGACCTGGCTGTTGCGGCCATTTGAGGAGTGAACCAACAGACGGAAGCTCCCTCTCGTCTCTCTGCCTTTTAAATAGATAAATCTTTAAAAAAACCAAGAACACAGGGACACGTCCACCTGTCGCGTAGCAGTCACTCTAACCTCACGAGATCCCAGTGGGCGTGGTCGTGGATGAGGACATAGAGTGTGTGTGGATTCTGCAGGGAGTTCTGCAGGAAGGCCTTGAATTTTGTCTGTGCCTCCGCGTCCAGCTTCAGGACGTACTGCTCCACCCTCTGCTTGGTCATGTGCTCCTCCTCCAGGCCCAGCTCCAGCAGGACCCCTGCAACACAGCAGAAACTCGTCAGGAGCTGCAAACACGGTCCCGGGTTTTGTCCACCTGCAGGCCCCTGACGGACAACCTCTACCCAGCAGGCTTAGGGTCGGGCTCTGGGGCTGCCGTCTACATGGGGCTGCTCTGCATGGGAGCTGGGGCCACGTGCCCAGCAGCCCACCCGGGGCTCCAGCAAAGCTGGATCCGTGGCGCCGGGGACCCCGGGCACCGTAACACGGTAAGAGAGAGAAAAGGGAGGATCCCACCACCAGCCAAGCCGCCTCTTGGCCTGAACATCCCAGGAGTGAATTCTTCCAGACAGGACACCGACTGTATTTCATGTTTAAATACACCCTCCTTGAAAGCACGGGGAAAATACAAAACGGAAGCCAGGGACCAACACGCTCAGCTGGCTCTCTGGCCTGGGTGGGACACAGCGAAAGTTCAAGTCTTGGTTCTCGGGCGTCAGCTCTGGGTGTCACCAGCTCTGGGCGTCAGCCTCGTGATGTATCAAATGGGGATGGTAACTGACACTCGCCCCATCTACTCCACGGAGAGGAAGGCCCCAGCCCTCCTCCCAAGGCCCCGTACCTGAGTGCCAGACGTGGCACAGGGTCTGCTGGTAGGTCACTTCTGAGGGAGGGATGCAGATCAGGAAGTCCACCTTCTCGAAGGAGCCCAAGTCCAGGTTCTGGGTGCTGGAGTCGGCGATTGAGCACACGTGGGAGAGCAGCTTCTGGGCCACGGCCAGCTGGAAGGGCCGGATGCCGTGCGGCTCCAGGCGGTAACCTGGAACCGAGCCCCGAGGGCAGCTGAGCCCTGGGGGCAGAAACCCACCACCCAGGCACTCGGCCGGGGATCCCACAGTGAGCCCAGCGCGTGCTCAGAGCAATGAGGGCCAGGGAGACCCTCACAGCCAACCACTGCCTGCTCTCAGCTCGGCCCTGGGCTGGACGCTACCGCACCACTTCATGTTCTAGGAAAAGCATAAGCCAAGTGCTGGGGGCACAGAGGAAGCAGTGCCTGCAGGGGACAAGCACAGCACCTGGGGAGGGGACACCGAACCCGGACTGGGGAAGAGCTTGGAAGTGCTCTGGAAGGCACGGAAGGTCCCCAGCTCCTCAGGAAGCCACCCACTGTGCACACCTGAGCCTCCTACCACCCACTGTGCACACCTGTGTGCCTCTCACCACCCACTGTGCACACCTGAGCCTCACCACCCACTGTGCACACCTGAGCCTCTCACCACCCTCTGTGCACACCTGAGCCTCACCACCCACTGTGCACACCTGTGCCTCTCACCACCCACTGTGCACACCTGAGCCTCTCACCACCCACTGTGCACACCTGAGCCTCTCACCACCCACTGTGCACACCTGAGCCTCTTACCACCCACTGTGTACACCTGTGTGCCTCTCACCACCCACTGTGCACACCTGAGCCTCTCACCACCCACTGTGCACACCTGTGTGCCTCTCACCACCCACTGTGCTCACCTGTGTGCCTCTCACCACCCACTGTGCACACCTGAGCCTCTCACCACCCACTGTGCTCACCTGTGTGCCTCTCACCACCCACTGTGCTCACCTGAGCCTCTCACCACCCACTGTGCTCACCTGTGTGCCTCTCACCACCCACTGTGCACACCTGTGTGCCTCTCACCACCCACTGTGCACACCTGAGCCTCTCACCACCCACTGTGCACACCTGTGTGCCTCTCACCACCCACTGTGCACACCTGAGCCTCTCACCACCCACTGTGCACACCTGTGCCCTCCCCGCCCTCTCACCACTGTGCACACCTGAGCCTCACCACCCACTGTGCACACCTGAGCCTCTCACCACCCACTGTGCACACCTGTGTGCCTCTCACCACCCACTGTGCACACCTGAGCCTCCCACCACCCACTGTGCACACCTGAGCCTCCCACCACCCACTGTGCACACCTGTGTGCCTCTCACCACCCACTGTGCACACCTGTGCCTCTCACCACCCACTGTGCACACCTGTGCCTCTCACCACTCACTGTGCACACCTGTGCCCCTCCCCACCCTCTCACCACTCACTATGCACACCTGAGCTCCTCTCACGCACTGTGCACACCTGTGCCCCTCTCCTCCCCACTCACTGTGCACACCTGCACCTCTCATCACTTACTGTGCCACCTGTGTCCCTCCCCACCCTCTCACCACTCAATGTGCACACCTGCACCCCTTCCCCCTCAGCACTCACTGTGCACACCTGTGCCCCTCCCCCCGCTGGCCACTCACTTGTACACACAGGTGCCCCACTGACATCCACGGATGCTGCTTGCGAGATGGAGGGGGTAGTGAGTGAGGAAGACATAGGGCCTTGATTCTCCTGATGAAATTTGTCCAGCAGAACGTCTATGTCGCCCTCTGCCAGAACCAGGACAGAAACAGGTTCTGTGTCTCAGTGAGGTTCAGCACTCGTCCCTGGACAGCTGTGTGCCAGCTACCTCCTAAGGCCAAGGATAGGGCACGGCCTGGTCCGCCCAGAGTCTGCAGCCCGGTAAGGAAGGACTCAGGTGGGCACCAGACACAGAGGTGCAGGAGGACCAGGGCGGAATCCCGGGGGGCAGGGAGCCAGGCAAAGCCGGGAAGGCTCCGAGAACGCACAGGTGAGGAACTGCCCAGTGAGAAGCTTCTTCGTGCTGTTTGGGGTGCAGGGGGATGCGGCAGTGGTGGCCGAGGAGGTAGAGAGGAACAGGTGCAAGGGCCTCACGTGCAAGACAGAGCCCCAGGGCTCCTCCAGGGAAACCCCAGAGCTAGAGCAGGAGAGACGACAGCCAGAAACCGCAGGGACGGGCAGTTAGACCCACTGAGTGGGCACCAGTGGGCTCAGGCAGGGCGGGGCAGAGACGGCCACCCTGGCAGCACCTCTGGCGTGTCTCACCCACGAGCAGCCCACCTGGACAGAGCGTGCTGACAAAGGCGCCCAGCGAGTCCACCTTCCCGGTCACCAGCTCGGCCTTGACTTCCTTCTGGTACTCAGCAGGGCTGAGCAGGCTCTCGGAAAGAATCCGGGCTTGGTATTTTCCTGGAAAACAAACTGCCACTTTCCCTGGGCCCTGTGTTTAGAAGGAGCACAGCTTCTCAGAGGACAGGGCCTGTGGCTTGGTCTCGCCACACCCTGAGCCTGGCACCACATCTGGCCAAGAGCAGGTGTTCATGTATGTTGAACAGATCAGCAGCGGGCACCGTCCTATCCTAATTTATCCATCAGGGTGCTAAGAAGGTCAAGATCACTGAGCGACATCTCAGAGCACTGGCCCTGGGCCTTGACTGCCGCCCCCAGCGGTGTAACCCTGGACAAGCCACAGAACACTCCTAGACCCGTGCCCCTCGCTGGAATGGGTGGCTCCCAGCAGTGTGTGCTCAAGCACCAGCAGCGGCCTCAGGCTTATTCCTGGGCTCGAGGGCAAAAGGAAGGGACCCTGCATACTGGCAGCGTGACAAGTTCAGGTTGAAAACATGCACCTGTGAAAATCTAAACAGGCCAAAAATGTTAGTGTTTGGTGCCTGCTTCCCTGCCCAGAATGGTCACTTTATCCCGGCCCCCAGAACAATGGCTACACACAGTAGGGCTTCAGGAAGTGTCCGGGAGGGCCCACACAACCCAATAAGGTCATTGTTGTCTCTGCACCAGCTCGTGGGCGAAACCGGGGTCAGAGCCTGGGTCTGGGTGACAAGCACAGCACCAGGTGCCCGGAGGTGCCACCTTCCCAGCCAGCTCCCTGCAGGCTGCAAAGCCGGCCCACGTCTCGCTAAGGAAGCCCTGGGAACTACGCACCTTGCGTTCCCAGCAGGAATGGGACCAGAACTGAGAGCATTATCCAGAGCTTGAGCCCCCGGCACCATGCACAGCCCCTTCTAAAACTGGCTACCGGGCACCAACGGCAGGTGCCGACCCTTGCTGCCAACCCGGGGCCACAGCGACAGACTCACCGGTGACGGCGATGCAGGAGTCGATGGCGGCGTTGCGGCAGGCACAGATGATGACCACGTAGTTGGTCTTGGCGAGCTTGCCCTCCACCAGCAGCCTGAACATCTCGGAGAGGCCCTCGGCCAGGGAGTAGGCACACTCGATGACATGCACACTGTCATTGCAGGAGCTGGCGGCCAGGCCGGCCAGCCAGGGCAGCTGTGCCGAGGTCACCGGTGCTGCGGCGCTGGGCGTGGGCGGGAAGAGCTGCGGCTGTGCCTGCTGGTACTGCCGGATCTCGGTCAGGTGCGACTCGCGCCAGGAGCGCAGGAAGATCTGCTCCAGGTCCTCCATCAGCGGCACCTGGTCGGCAGCTGCAGCACAAGACGGGTGAGGGGCCATCAGCGGGAGCTCTGGGGGCCCGGGGTGGGGGGCGCTGGCTTAGACTTCACACAACCTGAGGGACTGCCGGTAGCCGGCACCCTGGGCAGCTGGGGAACACGGGAGGACGAGAAATCACCTGTCCCCTCTCGCAGTCACAACACAGCCAGGGCTGCCTCGGGGTATGTCTCAGTGCCTTGCGTGGCTGTTTACACATACGGGTGTCAAGCAGCAGTTAGAACCCTGGGCTTACAGCTTTGGGCCTTGCCTTCTTTCCTGCTGTTACCCCATAATCATGTTTCCATGCTGTTTCCAGTCCCCATAACCAGCACTGCTAATGGGTACATAAAGTCCCAGCTTGGGAGGCACCACCACCTGCTGAGTGCTGCTCCCTCATGCACCTGCTGAGTGCCGGCCCATTGTGCACCTGCTGAGTACTGGCCCATTGTGCACCTGCTGAGTGTTACTCCCTCATGCACCTGCTGAGTGCCGGCCCATTGTGCCCTGCTGAGTGCTGCTCCCTCATGCACCTGCTGAGCGCCACCCCCTCGTGTGGCTTTATTGCTTCTGAAGCTCCCCATGACAAACCCCGCTGCAGCGCACCACAGGCAGGACACAGTCCACCAGTTCCAGTGCCCTAGAGGGGCTGACAGAACCACTGTGTCATCGGCTCCCTCCCAGAGCACCTGCATGCCAGGTGACCCCAACATTACAACACAAGAAGACACTGGTGTCAGGACGGCACTGTAGCTGCTGCTTGTGACATTTGTCACAGCCGGCATCCCATGTCAGAGTGCTGCTTCAAGTCCTGGCTGCTCCACTCCTGACCCAGCTCCCTGCTCATGCACCCAGGGACAGCTGGAGATGCCCACGTGGCTCGGGAGACCTGGATGGAGGAGTTTCTGGCTCCTGGCTTTGCCCTGGTCCAGACCTGGTTGTTGTAGCTATTTGGGGAGTGAGCCAGCAGATAGAAGACCTCTCTCCCTCCCTCCCTGTTGCTCTGTGCTTCAAATAAAGAAATAAATCTTTAAAAGAAAAGAGGGTGAGTTCCCCGCATCCTTTGACGACTGAGTCCCGTTCTCTGGGTAGGCACTGGGAGAGATTCTCCTTGGCAGACTCACTGATGTGCCTCTCTGCTGACTGGTGAGAGGGAAGAGTTTTCAGTATTTATCTCCCGTGGGGATTTTTTTCAATGGCTTGGTCTTGGGTGAGCTCTGACTGTTGCAGCATCCGGGGTCTCAAACCCTGGTGCCTCCTCCCCAGGGATCCCCACTGTCTTTGGCTTTCATACAAATCTTCCCGAAACCAAAAGTTCCCACCTCGGTTACAGCCACCACCTCTCCTAGGGCCCCAGACCGGCTCAAACGACAGCCCAGTGGCTCTCTCGTGGGCATTCCAGAAACAGCCAAGCCAGAGCGCTCCCCTTGGTGCTCAAGCCCTGTCCTCCCTGTGCCTCCCACAGTGGATTCCCCACTGCCCTTGAGAACACACCTGCATCTCCCTCCCGTGTCCCCACGTGGCCCAAGCCACCACCACCTTCCCTGCATCACACAGCCCCACGTGGCACAGGTGGCTTCAGAGAGAACAGGGGGCCACATCCATCCCTGCCTAAAACGATCCCAGTGATTTCTCAGTGCATCTGAGACACACAGGCCCTTGACCTCAGCCTAAGGCCCTGCCTCTCTCCAACCTTGACCCACACTCTCACCTACATCCCTGCTTACTGGGGACACTCCCCGCTCCTCCACCCCAGGGCCCTCTCCCCTCCTCCCTCCACCCCAGGGCCCTCTCCCCTCCTCCCCCCACCCCAGGGCCCTCACCTGTCCTCCCCCCATGCCAGGGCCCTCACCTGTCCTCCCCCCACCCCAGGGCCCTCACCTGTCCTCCCCCCACCCCAGGGCCCTCTCCCATCCTCCCCCCACCCCAGGACCCTCACCTGTTCCCATCCCTCAGCTGTTCCCAAGGCCGGCTTTGTCCCCTCCCCTAAATCATCCCAGGCACTGGTGCGCACACCCCGTTCCAGAATCTCTCCTAAGCCGCACCTTCAGTGCGTTCCCCCCGGCCCCGCCCAGTGCCTGGCTGGCAGGGGAACGGAGTGGGAGCCACCTCCCCGACTCCAGCCGGCTCCCAGGCCTCGGCGTGGTGACCCCTGCCACGCCCCTCACTGTGCTCCAGGGCTCACCGAGCTGCACCAGGTAGTAGACGGTGAGCAGGAGCTGCATCTCCTCGGAGATGGGCTGGATGGTGGTGGCGCCGCACTGCTCGTACGCCCTGGAGATGGACTGGGAGTTCCGGTAGCAGGTGTGCAGCAGGGGGCTGACCACGACGTCGTTCAGGTTCCCGCACAGGTAAGGGAAGTTCCCGTGGCCTGGGGAAGAGCACACGGCAGCCGCTCGGCCACTGGTCCTGAGCACAGTCAGCGGCCCCTACACGTGTGACATCACGGGACCTAACGCGGACAGGTCACCTACACTGGGTCAGTCAAATGTCCCTGTCCCTGAAAATCTCGGACTTCAGCCCTAGCTGATGTGTGCACCTGCCCTGCCCTTCCCCCCACCTGGCCCCTGGAACACAGAGCCCAAACCTCCGTGATGGGCGGCAGCAGCGGCTCACGCCCCTTTTCCCACGGGGGGAGGCTGAAGCCCCAAGAGAAACCTGCACGAAGCCACACAGCCGTCCCCTGCCACCTGTGGCCCTGGCCCCTCGGGGTCAGCTTTGCCTGCTTCCTGGCCTCCTTTTGGCCTCTCCAGCCTCCAAGGCCCGGTGCACCGCTGTACTTGCCTTTAAATATCACCGGTTTGGCCTTGCATATCTTCAGCAAGTTGTCGGGCACAGACACGGGCTCTCCGGAGGCCACGACAGGAAAGGCGACCGGGGCTGCTCCCAGCAAGCCCGCCGGGGGCAGGCAAGAGACGCCTGCACTTTCTAGGAAGACATAGCGACGGTCAGCAACGTACAGCAGCCAAGGCGCCCGCTGCCCTGGGGGCCCCGGCCCGACTCCAGTCCCCAGTCCAGCAGCATCAGTCTTGGAGCTGTAGGCTCCGGAGCTCAAGACGCGGCCAAGTTCACCGGCCAGAGACTCAGACTCCTCCCCTCCGGCAGCCCTGCCCCGGGACACCACATTTCTCAGGGCGAGGGAACTCGCCGTTCTACAGGGATCCCAGGCATTGACCAGCAACTGTGCTACACCAGGGCCCTTGCAGAGTTCATGGAAAGTGAAATGGAGAGGCAGGCTTGCAGTGGGCAACCGGTGTGGTGGTTAAGACACCGCTTTGGACACCTGCATCCTAAAGCTGAGAGCCTGGGGTCCAGTCCCGGGTCTGCTCCTAATTCCAGCTTCTTGCTAATGAGCACCCTGGAGGCAGCAGGCGATGGCCCCTGGGTGTACCAGTGTCCCTGCCACCTGTGCGAGAGACCCGGATTGAGTTCCTGGTGTCTGGCTTTGGCTTGGCCCAGCACCTACTACAGGGAGCACTTGGGAGAGAACCAGTGGGTGGGAGAGCTTTTTTTTCTTTAAAGGTTTATTTATTTATTTGCAAGGCAGAGTTGCAGGGAGAGAGAGGTATCTTCTATCCGCTGGTTCACTCCCCAAATGGCTGCAACGGCCAGAGCTAGGCCATCAAAAACCAGGAGCTTCTTCTGGGTCTCCCATGCAGGTGCAGGGGCCTAAGGACTTGGGCCATCTTCTACTGCTATCCCAGGCCATAGCAGAGAGCTGGATTGGAAGTGGAGCAGCTGGGTCTCAAACTGGTGCCCTTATGGGATGCCAGCACCGCAGGCAGTGGCTTTACCCGCTACACCATAGCGCTGGCCCCAAGGTGAGAGATCTTAATCTCTCTCTCTCTCTCTCTCTCTCTCTCTCTCTCCCCCTATCAGGTAAATAAATGTTTTTAGAAAGAAAAAAAATCGTTTGCTATACACAACTTTGAAATTCACGCCCAGCTTTATTGCAGCAAACATTTTCCATGAACTTGTGGAAGAGCCCGTGAGAGACCACACGCCTTCTGTTACTGAGAACGCCGCCAACACCACCCCACCCCAGAAGCAGCACCAGCGCCCGGGCGGCAAGGCAAGGCCGTGCTCACTCACCGCACTTGGCCCTGGTCCCAGCGCCCGGCAGGCAGCCAGCATCTGCAGCTGATGGAGATTCGGGAGACCACCCCTTGTGGCGTTTCTTGGGGGGCCCGGAGTTTGACAAGATACCTAGACAGCATTCAGGGCGCAGGTTATGAGACTGGCACCACGGAATAGCCCCCGAGAGAACACCCCCACCCCGCCGCCCTGATTTGGAGAACACGTGTGTGATATTTTATTTTTAAATCACGGCTCCGTGAGGGTTTGAGCCATCCGAGGAAAGACCCAGGCATAAGGAACGCGCTGTCCATTCTGTAAATGTCACATCCCACAGGGGTGCACGTGGTAACCTTGGGTTCTTCTATCTCTAAAATGGGATCATCAGACCTACTCTGAAAGTGGACCCATCAGGACCACAGAGAGCACCTTGTGCGACACGCAAGAATGGTGGCTCCGTGGCCACCATCTGTACATTTCCCATGTATCTCCCAAGACTCGGGAGGGAGAGAAAATGTGTTTTGGGAGAGGAGCTGCAGCCACATTCCAGTCACCAGCCCAGCGTCACCACGTGGGGGCAGCACCGACCCACCTGTGCGGCCCTGCCCACCCCAGCTAACTTCAGACTGGAAAGCCCACTGGGTGCAGGAGCCAGCAGCCGTGCTGCTCGTGAGCCCCCCAGCCCACCCCAGCCAACAACGCGCTCCAGGCTGGAGTTCTTCTCCCAGTGAGGCGCAGTACCCAGAAGTTACCGCGGCTTCTCTGCCAATGTGACAGAAAGCTCCCCCACACATGCAGCTCCGTGTCCCCACCGAGTGCCACCTGCAGCAGACTCGACCCCCTCCCAGCCTGCAGGTGGGGGCCCGGCATCTGCTGCCCGGAGCTCCCTGGCCCACCCACGCAGCGCCTCCCCAGGTATGATGGAGGAGGGGCCGCACAGACGGGCGCGCGCTCACTAGAGCAGTCCATCCGGGGCCCGGGAATCAGCTCACCACCCTCACGAGCTGCCCAGCTCATCCTGCCGCACGCCGCCCACTCCTGAAAGTAGCCCCAAAGCATTTCTTCCCCTGCTTTAGGAAGTGGACACAAAGGTCCAACGGGCGGGCATTTAGCCTAGCAGTGAGGCACCTGTGCCCCACCAGAGCGTCTGGGTTCAGGCCCCAGCTCCAGCTTCCTGCTAAGGCAATGGTGATGGTTCAAGTGACCCGGCCCCTGCCTCCCACAGGGGAGACCCGGGTTGAGTTCCCGGCTCCCAGCCGCCACCGCTGGCCATTGCAGACATCTGGAGATGAAGCAATGGATAGGAGCTCTGTTCGCCTGCCTCTCAAAGAAATAAAGTCGTTATGTTTTTAACATGAAAAAATGTAAAGCACAAAGAAGGTACAAAGAACTCAAACTCGTGGGCTCCTTCCTCCCTGCCTGCAACCTTGGCAGTGGCCGCTGTCGCCGCCCTGTGACACCAAGCCCCTGGCTCTCCCAGCGTCCCTCCCAGTGCACGGAGCTGCTCCCCGACAGACGCAGCAGCCTGCCAGCTCCTCCTCCCTCGGGGACTCTGAGCCCGGGAGCTCTCCCCGCACGACGGCCCCAGGAGCCGTCCCGGCAGTGCCAAGGTCTCGTGACCTTCGGGGACCTGGTTCTCCATGACGCAGCCCAGTCGGTGCACTAACTGCCAGCAGGACCCGCTGTGTGGGCCAACAACTCCATCTGTGATCCGCAGGTTTCCTGCCCCGCTCAGCGGGTGGCTCCTTCCCCACCCTGCCCTGACAGTCACACTTGCCTGGGCTGAGACAGTGCTCGGGAATTGGGAATTAGCCTGTGTGGGACAGGGGCCCGAGCGCCCGCGGCAGCCTGGGAAGCCGCTCAGTATTTTACATTGCAAAGTCCGGCCAGACTCCTAACTTTAAGGTGGTCCTAGCCTCCCCGCTAAGGCAGGCACCCAGGGGAATCCTCTCTGCCCAGCTGCCAAGTGGGCGCTCAGCCCGGGAGCAACAGGATCATAAAACCTGGGGAGGAATGTCACCTGCTTCACACCCAGCAAACCCCGTGTGCGTCTAGTAGGAGAGGGAGGGGGAGGAGAAACAGCAGGAAGACCGGCACCTGTTCCCTTACAAGCCTGGGTCTGAATACAGACCAAGCTCTCGGCCTGCCAGGTGCATTCGCTCCAATACGCTATGTCCCCTAGCTCTCCCCAGCCTGGGTGCCCGGCTCTCTCGCTCAGATCCCGTCCGGAGAGGCGCCCATCCATTCTGACGGCCGCATGGTCCCATCACACCTTGCCACCACCCGTGTCTCAGGTCTGGACCCCTTCCACCACCTCCGCTGACAGCACCGGGACCCCAGGGGCCCGAGAAGGAAGCCTGGCTACAGAGGGTGGCCCCCATGCTGAGCTCGGGCAGGCGGATGCGCAGGGGACAGTGGTGGGAACGCTCCAGCTCGAGACGGGGAGCAGATCCCCAGGTGCCACTGCCCCCGTCTTCCTCAAGCCCCTCCTCCCACAGGAAGGCCGCCCCACCCCTTCACGCACCTCCCCCTCACCCATTCCCTCACTTCCTCAGCCTTCTGCACTCACTTCCCCCCGCGCCATCTCTTCCGGTCTCCAACTCCAGTATCACCTCCTCCAGGAAGCCTCACTGAGGATGCTGCCGCAGACGGCCACGGCTGGTACCACTCAGTGAGAGGTCCACGGGCTCCGACCCAGGGGCAGCACCTCATTCATCCTCTTACCACCCTCGGGGCAGAACCCCGCCTCCAGGTAGGGAGACCTGCCCAAGGTGTCCCGGCTGACGAGGGGCAGGCTGGGGTCTTGAATCCACTCATCTGACTGTGAGGCCCAGGCCCGTCCCCGGCAGCATGCTGTCCCCTTCTCCAACACACAAGGTCTCCCGTGGTCACCACCAGCCTCCCCTGCTCCTTGGCACACACAACGTCTGCCCTGTGTGGCTCCCTGGGCACCAGGGACCAGGCGCAGAGCCGCCGTCTGAGCAGGCACCTGCTGACCTGGCCCGACCCCCACTGTAGAAACAGCAGCCTCCAGGGGCTCCAGCAGCCTGGCTGGCCTTGGCCTGGCAATGAGCAGCCTCCCCCCACCAGGGGCCAGGACCTGCAATGCTACCTAAGGCCGCGGGCCTCGGCGGCACAGGCAGGTTACTCTTCGGCAACTGCTGGTGCTTTGGCGAGTCTCTGCCATTGAAGAGGGGGGGACCAGGCGCCGCGCTCAGCGAGGGGTGATCGGAAGCAGCTCCTGGGGGCAGAGAGAAAGGCAGGAGGGAGGACGGTCAGTCCCTGGGCGGCTCTGCCAGCCAGGCAACCAGGAAACGGTTTCTCTTCCATCTTTACAAAGAAGCTCTGCACTGTCATGTTCCATCGGGAAGTCTGAATCCCTGACCCGCTGATTCTGCCCCCACGAGCACACAAACGTGCACATGCACGCAAGTGCACGCAGGCTCCTTCCTGCTTGAACACACACGTGAACATGCACACTTATGTAAATTAACATGCGCACACATACACTCCTGCTTGTGCGTATACACACAAGTATACCCGTGCACATGGATGCATACACACATGCACACATTCTTGAGTGCGCACATGAGCACGACATGAGTGTGCACTTATGTGAGCTCATGCACACACTGCAGCTTCTGCATAGACATGTGAGCGTACCCATGTACATGCACACGTGTGTGTACATACACACACAGGAACACGGGCACTCATACGTGCACACGTTCCTGCTTGAGCACACACGTGTGCTGCACACTTATGTAAACTCATGCACACACTCCTGCTTCTGCATAGACATGCGAGCGTACCCATGTATATGCACACGTATTCATACACACATGCACACACAGGAACACGGGCACTCATACGTGCACACATCCCTGCTTGAGCACACACGTGTGCATGCACACTTACACAAACACATGCGTGCACACACACACTGCTGCTGGAGCACACATAGCAACATGCACATTTAGGCAAACACACGTGTGTGCACACAATGCCGCTCACACCCCAGTGGGCACAGCCCAGGTCTCAGAAGGACCCGGGACGCCGCGGGCTCCGAGCTCCAGGGCCACAGGGAGAACATCCTGCTTCCCTCTACCTTCTCTCTCGCCCCAGAGATCAGGATTGTATGCAAAACAGCCCGGAACACTGCGAGGTTTGCAGCCTCCTAGCACTGGCTGCTCACAGGGCCCAGGGCTCCCCACACTTGAGGACAGTTTACAGACAACCACGGTTCTGAGCTCCAAGTCAGCCAGAATGTTCTGGAAGGCACTCAGCCAGGAGTGGCACCAAGCAAGTGCAGTGGCCTCTGTTCAATCCCCTCTCCCACCAACAGCCGTGTGACCTGGGACACCCACCGAACCTCCCCAGCTTCCACATCCTCATCCATCAAATGGGGGTGACCAGAGTGGGTGTGCACAGAGCCACCGCGAGAAGGCGGGTGCACAGAACAGTGCCTGGCCAGGCGCCCACCCCAGGGAGAACCAGCTGTCACCACTCTGTGATTTCGTTCTTACCATCACCTGCAAATTGGACAAGATTCCCCCACCCCCAGGTAGGCAAACAGGGAAGTCGCTCCGCAATCACCAGGCAGATGGCGGCAGCGCTGCTCTCACAGGCACCCTGACGGCAGAACCAACAGCTCCCCTGTCCCCCGAGGCGGCGAGGCCACGGCAAACTCCACCCAAAGGACCTCAGTGCCTCTGTGGGAAAGCACATCCCAGGCCAGGCCAGTAGAGGGCACTGGCTCCCCATCCAGGGCCCAGGCTCCACCACCCACTCTCTGGACCAGGGAAGAAAAGCAAGCAGGGACCTTCCAGGGTCCCCCAGAACGCTGGCATCACCATGCGTCCCAAGGCAGCTCAGCCTGGCAAGGCACTGGCACACGAACGGGAAAGCCTTGGCGTCAGACCCAGCCTGCACCACCCCCTGCCCGAGGGGTCCTGGCCAAGCATCCGGCCTCCACCAGCCTCAATTTCCCCATCAGGAGAGGGCAAACTGAAGCCTGGTCACAGGTGGCAGCTGGGATTCAGTGAGATCCAGACACGGCAGCAGCCGTGTGGACCTGCCCCCTGATGCATCCAGGCCAGGCCCTGGTCCAGCACCTGTTACACCTGTTACACAGGCTGTGTGTGACCTGCGGAACACGGGGGGCCCTTGGGATGTGACCTCCCTCCATCCGGGGCCACACGGCGTATCCACAGGAGCAGGGCAGAAAATCTCTCCAAACGAAAGCACGGTCTCCACTGGAAACCATCCCAGGTTCAAGATGAAGATAACACGCACAGCGTGCCCTTGGCCTTGAAGGCGGCCGGCGGCTCGCGGGTCACACGCCAGCTCTGTGGGCTTAGCGCCTCGGGCCTCACCTGCCTGTTGGGCGCCCATCAAGACGCTGGGGTTGGCCCCAGGAGAAGGCTCGCTGGGGAAGGCGGCCGGAGGCCCCGAGCTCTCCAGCGGTGGGAAGAGGGAGCTGGCACCAGTCCTGGCAGAAGTCTGCCGGCCTCGGATCTCTGAGGACAAGACACGCAAGAAACTCATCAGCCTTTCCCGGCAGTCACAGCCACTTCCTGGTTGGGAATTCTCCCCACGGGAGCGCGAGACACGTGGGGGAACCCCAGTAGGCACCACCGCCACACCAACCGCGGCTGCCGTGGGGAGCTGGGCACGAGGGCAGCACTCTGCCTGCGGCTCCACACCGAGGGGCAGCTCTGATCGTCACGCGGGGGAGCCACAGTGAGCCGGGGAGGGACGGGAGAGGCAGATGCTCCCGGGTCCATGTGTAAGGCTCAACGCGGCGGCAGGACAGCCCCGCAAGGTGCCCGCTGGAGGGGCAGCCCGGGGCCACGCTCCTCACCTGAGCCTTTCCAGCAAATCAGAGGCCCTTTGGTGAGCGCGCCCTGGGCGTTCCGGACCAGGTAGTACTTGAGGTGCTTCTGCTTCTTGGGCTGGGTGGCCAGCTTCAGGTTGATGTGATTGGAGAACTCCGTGAAGTAGCAGAAGCCCTTCTTGCCACAGCCAACGCAGTTCCCGGAGAAGCCTGGAGGGGGAAGCACACGGGAAGGCCCCACTCGTCTCCGAGGTCCGCTTCAAATACAAAGTTCACGGACACTCAGTGTTCGGGTTCTGTCCCAAAGCCAGACAGTGCACAAAGCCCTAGCACAGCACACTGGCCCAGGGGTCAAGACAGCCTCGGGGCCAGCAGCGCGACACAGGTGGTTAAGCCACCGCTCACGATGCTGGCATCCCACCGGGACACCAGTTCAAGTCCTGGCTGCTCCACTTCTGATCCTGCTCCCTGCTGATGCACCTGGGAAAGCAGCAGAGGATGGCCCAAGTGCTTGGGGCCCTGCACCCACAGAGGAGACCTAGAGAAAGCTCCTGGCTTCAACCTGGCCCAGCCTCTGCCATTGCAACCATTTCTCTCTAACTCCATCAAACAAGTGAATCTTTAAAATAAGTAAAATAAAAAAAACAGCTTCAGCTCAAACACAGGAAGGACCTGGAAGTTTTGGGGCTGGGCCTGAGCAGGCTTGGCGTCTCTCATGTGCATCGGGGTGCCTTTAGAACTCCACAGGGAGAACAGGCTTTGCAGGGAACAGCTGCCCACTCAGCAGCCATACTGAGCAGGGGCTGGAAGGACCACCCTGGCCCCGTTTCCCTCGGCACTAGCCAGAGACCCAGAGGCCCAGGGTAGTCAGACCAGTGAGCCCAGCACATCGTGAGACCGCTCAGAAGGCCAAGGTTGCATCCTGGAGTCCAACAGGTGCGCTGAATGCTGCAATGAGACTGAGAGGGGTCCACAGCGCATGGCCAGGACACGCCAGGGTGGACTTTGGGGGCTTGGCTGCCAACTGCTGGAGAGTTCACTGCCACGTGTGTGTGTCTCCAGGCCAGGGTCCTCCTGCCCAGGTCAGACACACTGGGCAGACCATGTACACAGTGACGATGACAAAACACTTCATGTGACCCACTGAGGCTCTGAGACGGGGCTTGGAAAAAGACCTTTCAGACTGTACTTGCGACAGTGCGTGTCACAGTGCAGCTTCTGCCTCTGATGACGATTCTTGTCACCTACGTGCAGGGGACACTGCTTTGCCACGGGTTGATCTGGCTTCCATGGGCCCCAGGTCCCTGAGCAGGGGGGAGACACAGGGGCTGAGACTGACTAATTTCTGCCTGGGTCTCCGGGGTGGGTCTCCAAGGGTCATTTCGCCTTGGGCCCTGAGGGACAAAGCTGTGTGTTAAGCCCTGCCCTGAACCTGTGAGTGGGCTCTGTGGCTCAGGTTCCGGACAACGGCTGTTAGTGAAGGTTAAAAACATCCCCACAGAGACAAGGCGTGCACAGTACAGAACACTGCCGGAGGCACCGATCGGTGGACTGCAGAGAAATTCAATACAGCTCAGGTCATAGGTCAGGTACAGGTGATGTCACCTCCCCCAGGGAAACACCACACTCTGTCCTCTACGCTTCCTCATTGTTTACGGAACACAGAGCCAGGGCAGCCACACCGTCCGACGACATCTGTCCCTCGGCTTAACTGACACTCAGCACAGGAGCAAGCCCTCCTTCTGTGAATGCAGGGGCCACAGAGGCTTCGGCACTGCACAGTCCCCGACGCAGCCAGCGTGCTGCTAGATTCCGGCACCCAGGCGCAGGCCCCGAGCCTCGGGCTGCCTCTCCTGCTGTCGCCTCGCTCACCTCACTCCCCCTGGACTCCGCCAGCTCCTGCCCCCTCCCATGAGTGCAGCCTGCAAGTGTCCAGCCATCACTTGTCACCCAGCACCTGGCCTGGACCCAAAGGGCTCCTTGCAGCCTTCTGCCCACTTCTACGCTCAGAGGGCCTGGGGCGCCCTCCTTAGCATTCTGGCTGTGGAAATCCGTGTCTGCTTTTCCCATACTTGTCTCAGCCCTCCTAAAGGACAGGGCCCCTGGTGTGACTGCCCGTGTGTGTGACTGCCCGTGTGTGTGTGTGCATGTGCGTGTACCAGGGCCACCAAGCACTGAGGGGCAGAGGGAGGGAAACCGGCTCACTGTCAAAGGGAACATTTTCAGCTTCCTGCAGAAACCTTCAAGCACTAACCTCGATTTTTATTTATTTATTTCCTCCAAGCCTGGGAGAAACACGGCCCCCCAGCCAGCCATGGAGAAGGACCTAAGACGACTCCAGAGCTCCCTGGAAGGGGTTAGAAGGCTCCATGTGGCAGAGGTGGATGAACAGGAGGTGGGGAGGGCGATCTGCCAAGGCCGGAGCCGCCACCGGGTCTCAGAGCCATCCTCAGCCGAGGGACAGCGTCCACCAGGAGCTCCTCTCTGGGGCTGGGAGTCAGCAGTGGCCACCCCAGGTCTTACCGGTTCCATAAGGATTTAAGGAGCCCGCAAGCAAACTGCTCTCCCGCTTTGGCCAAAACCACCCGGACGGGAGACCCAGCCGCTGCTCTGAGAGGTGGCCTTGGAGAGATGGGCCCCAGAACCCATAGTGGATAGACACTGAGGACATCCCAACTCGGGAGATTATCTGAAAGGCAATGGACGCTTTCACGAGAGGCTAAAGTAAGGAGCCGTTCTCCAATCCTCCCCTAGCCCGGAGGTGTCCAAACAGCTCTGCAGGAGACGGGTCCAGAAACCACGGGTCCAGCCCGAAACCTCAGCTCCTACAGGCAGCACACGCGGGGTGCAGAGAAGGCTCCCCTCCCAGCACCACAGGACAGAGACTGTCCCATGACGGCCACTCACGGTCCCCTGTGGTTCAAGTGCAGCAGCGGGGTTTCATCTAGCGAGTGGGGGGGGGGCACACTGCCTGCGGACACCACCCTTCCACTGGGAGGAAGCTCTCACCCACTCCCTCCCCTCCCCTCCCCTCCCCTCCCCTGCTGAGAGGCAGACTTGGAAGTGGGAGGGGCCTGGGTTCAGATCCTGACTGACAGCAGGTAGATTCAGAGCCCCAGACTTGCCCTCCTCACCCGCAAACAAGAGGACAGGAGGGAGCAGCCGCGGCATGGCCACCCTGTGCACTGTGTGAGGCTCCCACCCAGCCCTCACAGCCTACATCTGCCGCAGAATCCCAGCCTACAGACGGGGGAACTGAGGCAGAGAGGGGCAGGAGCTCATCCCCAGGGACAGGCTGGAGCTGGCATCTGAACCCCTGCTGTGCCCTGGGCTCTGAAACCCACCGTGGGCTGCTTCCTCTGCCTCTCTGGGCTGCAGGGTACAGCAGGGGTCGGGACTGTGTGCTCAGCCTGCGTGCCCTTCCCTTTCCCAACCACAAGAGGCAAGGCCAGGACTAAGCTGGCCGTCGCTCGCTCCCTGGTCCAGAGCCACAGACGCCTCTGGGAAACACCCACAAGCGGCTCCTTCAGACCCCGTGGGAGGTCCCTGAGCACAGAGCCAACAGCAGGGGGTGGAGCAGGCCCAGGCTGATGGCTGAGGCCGCTCCCTGTGAGCTCTGACCCTTCCCTCTTGATCCGCGGTCCACGGAGGCCCCGCCAACAGCCACCTCCCCAGACACCTGCATCCGCAAACCAGCCCCCAGGTCAGCCCGCCTGCCTCCACCTGCAGCTTCCCAGGAGTGGACGTTCAGGATGGGCCTGGAGCTAGCCTACTGCCCTTGGCCTTGAGCGCCAACCCTCTGTGAGAAGCCCCAGACCTGTCTTGAGCTCTCACAGAAAGGACAATTGCTAGGAATTAAACCAGGTGCTCTGAGGAAGACACAGACCAAAAGAAAAAAAAAGCACACAGCCCTGGGCATCAAAAGGGCGCGCCAGGCTCGACTCGGCACTCAGCCCCACGTGTCCACAGCAGCTCCTGGGACCTGGGCGGATCTCAGACCCACAGGCTCGAGTGGCCTGGGTGAGCAGCCAGGATCCCACAGCTCCAAGGCAGGAGGCACTGAAGACTGCCACGCGCCGGGAGCTGTGTTTCCAGCCTAACAGGCCACAGGCGGGACAGGGACAGGAGCAGGAGCAGTACCAGAGCGCGGCTCCAGGAAGACACCCCAGGCCTCGAAGCAAAGTGGAGCTCACCTCGGAGCTCCCCTCCAGGAAGGAGATGTCACAGCTGGGACCACAGCAGCACCGGGCTGGCCAGCCCGCCCCGCCCAGTCCCTACAAGGAGCAGCAACAAGGGACAAAAGGAGGGTCCTCTGGCTCCAGAGCCATGAAGTGGGGACAGCAGGGGACATAATCCAGCATGAGAGCAGTGCCGGGGTCCCCAGCTCTCGTAGAAAGTTCGCTTAAACCCCCAGCTGGAGGAAAATCAAACGGGTAATGGGAAAAACGAAATGCACTCCGCATTTCTGTGTGAAAGGATTGGGGCGAATTTCTCCTTTGTGTTTGTTGATTTGTTCCTGGACTTCTTCCCCAAGGTAAATACAGCCAAGGAAAAAGCAAGCCCAGGGCCTCACGCTGATGTTTGGCCAAATCCTGCCTACGGCGCAGAGGTGACCTGCCTGGGGTCAGTGCCGGGCAGTGGCGTGTGGGGAAGGTGGGATAACTCAGGGGTCACAGTCCAACGTCAGAAGGTTGAGACTTCTTCAAAAGTATTAGTTTTGTTATGAACGTTAGGGTTAAGCAGTTAGATTATTTAATTTTCAAAAGATTTATTCCAAAGGCCGAGAAAGAGATACCTCATCTGCTGGTTCACTCCCCAAATATCCACAATAGCTGGGTCGAGGCCAGGCCAAAGCCAGAAGCTGGGAGCTTCATCTAGGTCTCCATGCAGGTGGCAGGGACCCAGGCCCTTGCACCAGCACCTGCTGCATCCCAGGATCTACCTTAGCAGGAAGCTGATCAGAAGTGGAGAAGCTGGGACTCGAACCAAGACACTCCAGGGTGGGACGTGCACACCCCCAACGATGTCCTGACTGCTACGCTGTGGCCATGAAGCTTCTAATTCTCAGGCCACCGCAATGATCCAGAATCCTACACTAAGCTCCCAGCTCATTCCTCTGCCTCAGTTTCCCCCTTTCTAAAAAAATCAATTGCATGTATGATTGACAAGCGATCTTTCTAAAACACAAAGTAAAAACTGGGGACCACCTCCTCTTACCATTCAGTGTTTCTTAAAAGTGTAAATCGTCAAGGAAAACCACAGAGAAAGAACCCACGGGTTAGGAAGCACTTGGGAGAGACAACCACCACCTGCTCTGGGAGACGCTCGCTGAGCTTCGGATTCAAATAAACCAACTACGGAAAACAGACAAGCTGGGGCCGGCATTGTGGCCACCTACAGCGCCTTAGCGGTGCCAGTTCAAGTCCCAGCTCCTCCACTTCTTATCCAGCAGACTGCCGATAAACTAGGAAAAGCAGAAGATGGCCCGAGTGCCTGGGCCCCTGCTACCTTACATGGGAGACCTGGAAGAAGCTCCTGGCTCCGGCCTGGCCCAGCCCTGGCTGTTGCAGCCATCTGGGGAGTGAACCAGCAGATGGGTCTCTCTCTCTCTCCCTCCCTCCCTCCCTCCCTCCCTCTCTCTCTCTCCCCCTCCCTCCCATCCTCTGTGTGTGTGTGTGTGTGTGTGTGTATGTGCCTCCCTCTGACTTTCAAATAAATAAGTCATTAAAAAAACTCAAGTTAAATTTGAACACACTGGATATTTGATAATATTGAAGAACTGTTACTTTTTTCAGATACAAGAACGGTACTGGCTTCCCCATAAAAAGCACTTTTCTCTTAGAGATACCCTCTAACCCCCCACCCCCCACAGATGAACTGACAAGACTCAAATCTGGGCTTTGCTTCACCACATTCCAGGAGAGGGAGAAGAGGGAGGAGTCACGAGCAAACCCAGGCTGGCTGTGGGCTGGTAACGGTTGAGGACAAGGGCAGGTGCGTCACCGTCCAAGACTCTTCTCTCTCTGCAGTTGGAAAATGGTTTTCTGGGCACCACAGGCAGCCTTGGCCAAGCAGGACACGACTGAAAGCTGCCAGTTTCTCCCCGTGAGTCAAGCTCCGGTCACAAGGAAGCAGAAGCACGTGTCCCGCGCACCCAGCTCTCACCATGGCCCGAGACGCCCTCTTGTCCCATGCACCCAGCTCTCAATGCATGGCTCCCTCCGCCTGAGACGCCCTCGCCCCATCCCTGGACCGGGCCATCTGGATTCCAATTCAGGACCTGCCAGCTGCTAGCTGCGTGAGCCTGCGCCAGTCACTCTACCCCTGTGCACCACCCCCCTCATCATCTATAAGCAGTAGGTAATAAAGGACCCACCTTGCAGGTGGCTGAAGAACAGTCCCCGGCCCATGAGCAGCCAATGCTGGCGGCCACCAGTGTGGCAGCCCAAACTCCTGCTCCCCTGGGACACCTCTCCCAGCACAGACAGCCAGCGTGCCCCTCAGCATCCACACAGCACCCAGATTTAGTGTAATGGTTACTGGGTGGCCACTTCCCATGGGCCTGGCAGCTGGTCCTGTTGGCAGGGGGGAGCAGGTGAGGCCTGATCTGTGGTGGCCCCGGGCTGCGTGTCCAGCCAGCAGCCCCGAGCTTATGCATTCAGTGAAAGCTTGCTTAGCCACCTCCCTGCTGATGGAGCCGCCCTCATTCCCGGCTCTAAGAATCGACCATTCTAGAGAGACGCGCTCCCTGCTCTCACATCTTGGCCATCAGCCGATTTAGACAGATTACGGGCTCAAGACTGAAACACAGGCCTGGAGCTTAATCTTTGAGCTTTCTTAGACAAAATCCCTCAGCGGATTCAAAGTTACTAAAACAAGCCTCCTAAAGCCCTTGCTCCCCCCATGATTGCTCACGGGCTCCGTTTTATAGGTCACTAAAAGGCGCCGAGCCCGACCACGGTGCCCTGGGCAGCCGGCGGGGGTTAATGGCAGGAAACCTGAACAGTGCTAAGTGTGCAAGCAGGGAGCATAAAGCTATTTTCAAAGAAGAAAGCCTGGCTATTCCCCAGCAGCCCTTGTTGCCCGGTTCAGATGGCTTTTTGGCAAGCAGTTAACAAGGCTGCTACTTCCTGCACACTCACGGTCACCCCCGGGGGCTGGTGGGGAGGCACCGGGAGATTCCCTCTCCACGGGGCAGGAGACACAGGCAGAGGCTCTTTGATTTACTGCCCCGGCAATTCCCTTACAGTCACAAAGTGGCGGGATCCGGCCAGATCAAAGACTAAGGCAGCCGCCCCCAGCCCCCAGCCCTCCACCTCCCCCACCCCAACCCCCACCCCCACAGCCTTGGGAAGGAAACTCAGTCTGAGATTCACAAACTGATTCTGCCAGCTTTTTGGCAGAGTGAATTTTCTGGGCCTATTCTTGTTTTTAAAGAACTGGCTACGGAGAGTCCAGAGACATAAGGAGAGAGGTGGCTAAAAACTTTTCTCTCCCTCATCCTTGTCCCAGAGCTGTGCTGTCCCAGGAATGAGGGAAATTTGCAGGTGGGCACGTCCCCTGCACAGCACCCCATCAACAGCCGACATGAGTGCACGCTCCCCAATCTGGGGCTGGACCAGGACGGAGCTACCAGTATTGCTGTTGACACACAGGGGAGACCCCGAAGAGCTGGCTAACCCACAAGTTCCGACCAGGAAGAAATTGTTAGCCTAGAAGTTTCAACGTCAAAATGTTTCCCACGGCCAGCACCACGGCTCAATAGGCTAATCCTCCGCCTAGTGGCGCCAGCACACTGGGTTCTAGTCCCGGTCAGGGCGCCAGATTCTGTCCCGGTTGCCCCTCTTCCAGGCCAGCTCTCTGCTGTGGCCAGGGAGTGCAGTGGAGGATGGCCCAAGTGCCTGGGCCCTGCACCCCATGGGAGACCAGGAGAAGCACCTGGCTCCTGGCTTCAGATCAGCATGGTGCACCGGCCGCAGCGCACTGGCCATTGGAGGGTGAACCAATGGCAAAGGAAGACCTTTCTCTCTGTCTCTCTCACTGTCTAACTCTGCCTGTCAAAAAAAAAAAAAAAAAAAAAAAAGGTTTCCCACAAATTCTGGTAGGCAAATATTTCTATAATGAAGATAGCTCCTGAAGTCACATTCCAGACAGATCCTCACCCACTGTGCCAGTGCCCAGCACGCCAGAGACACAGGGTGGGGAGCACACACAGGGTCACCTCCCCCGAGGCCAGGAGGCCACGTGCACCCACAGGCAGATGCAAGACTGGAACCCCCGCGTGAGCATGGGCCTAGCACACATCCAAACGAGCTGGGTAGCCAGGCTTGGCCTCAATCCTGTGCTGAAGTCCAGGCCTCAGTGGCGTGGGAAAGAACACAGGCTGGGGGTTGCCAGTGCCGCAAGGGAGCCGAGGTGCCCACCCTCCTGACCTTGACCCCAACGTGGGCCCGCGGGGTTCAGGACCCTGGCTCTGCCTTTCTGACTTGCACGCCGCTGGGCAAGTTCCTTAATGGCTCGAAGGCCCTGGAAACCAGGACAGCAATGCCCACCTGTCGGGAGGTGAGCACTGAACCAAGGGGCAGAGGGTGCGAGGGACCCACAGACCCCGGGCACGCAGGTTCCAGAGGCAGGGACCACGCTCGGCCTCTCTCGCAGCCGCTCCGTGTCCGTGGTTTCCAAGAGTGCCCAGGACAGGGTTTGTGATCCGGTCCAGGAAGGCACTTGGGTGAGTTTGAGGAATAAATGAACATACAGGGAGGGCTGTCCACGGGGTGGGGGCCGCATTAAAAGAATCCCGCTTGGATGCCATTCCCCCAGGAAATCGGCTACCGAGATGCACGGGGTATGGGACGGCAGGGTCCTGAAGGCGGCCTCTCTGCCACCACCACCTCTGCACCGCCTGCCCCACCCCTGCCCACCACAGACAGGTGCAGCTGCGGGCAAAGCGAGGACTCACCGAGAAGGGCATTGTGGCCGTTGTCATCGGGCAAGAACCTCCTGTCCACGGCACACACCAGGAGGTGGTCAGGCAGGCTGGGGGACTTGGCACCCACCAGCAGGAAGCCCGCGGGGACGTCGATGGGGTCGCTGGAGATGGAGACGAGACGTAGGTCCTTGCCAGCCTGGCAGAAGCCTAGGAGGGACAGACGGGGCTCAGCCACCACAGGGGCTTACCCAGAACCAAGGGTCCTGGGGGCAAAGGGCACAGACATCCGGGGCCCTGAGCGACGTGGTTACAACCCACGTGATCCCTGGCACCGAGCACACACAATTACATGGGAGACGCGGGAGTGTGCACGTCGAGGCTCAGGGGGAAAACCGTTTCCATGAGCGCCGGCAAATCAGAACCCAGAATGGGAGACCAAGCGGGACCTGGCGCCGTCCACCTGCCGCGCTTGGCATGGGTATGGTGCAGGCCACTGTCCAGGACTCAGGGAAGACGCCAGAGTGCAGGGACCCCGCCTCTATAACTCAAAAAGGCAGCTTCCCGAAGGAGCTAGGAAACAAGGAAGCACCAGGAACGGCCGAGGTCCATCCATAGGTGTCCTTGCTCTCAACATGGGCACCTCTTGCCCAGCCACCTTGGCTCTCTGGCCACCACGGACACAGCCCCAGCCCAGTGAGCCCTGCCCACCAAGGCCATAGCAGCAGGCTCGTTCCCACTGCCTGCATCTCACCCCTCCCTGCCCACTGCCTCCAGGACGGCAGCCAGGCTGCTCCCGGGCAGGGGTGGCCCCTCCCGGCCTGTGCAGTCCCTGCTGTGTGCAGAGCTGGAGGAAAGTGGACCACAGGTGGTCACAGGGCTCCTGGCACCGCCCTGGAAACTCCCCGAGGACCACCGTTCTGACCCCCGGAGAGCTCCGTTGTCAGTCTGGGACGGTCACGATGCTGGGACCCTGAAGGGCTGCCGCGCGAGGAGCCACTGCCTGCACTGTCCCTCCCCTGCTGGACAGTGCTCAGGGCGCTCGAGGCCTCCACAGCCACTGTGGTCACTTCTCACCTCGCCCCCTGCCTCCAGCCATTTCTTACCCTCTCAGTCTTTGCCAGAGCCATCCCCTCTGGCTGGAATCTCCCAACTTCTCCCAATCCATCCATTTCTTGGCTAACGCTTACCCATCCTCCAACACCCAGAGGAAAAGACCAACTCCTCCAGGAAGCCCTCCTGAGGCTCTCTACCACACTAGGACCCCCTGCACCCCTACCTGCCCCCTCCCACCCCACATGCAAACTGTCTACCTTCCTATATAACTCCCCATGATACTGGGCGCTCTCAGAACACTTACCTCTGTCCGGGCTCAGTCATCATTAATCACTGATTGGTTAATAGCTGGGATCCCATTTGACAGGTACAGGGAAAGGACACATGGAGTAAGTGTCACAGAGGCTGCCCAGCCCAGAGCTGGCCCCAGGCTGTGCTGGGGCAGAGCACAGGCTCACGTCACTGGACCAAGAGGCCCTTGGCCAGCACCTTGGGCATACGGACACACCACTGCCATTCTTGGTTAAACATGGCAGGCAAGTGGACCGAGAGGGGAGCATGGTTCTGGTTTACAAACAACAATGTGTGGGCCCCAAGCGTTGGTGAAGCTGAGGCTGTCCAGAGAGCCGCCGCGGGGTTGGGGTGGGGACGCTGAGCCTGACGTGGTGTCCTGGGGCGTGGCTGGTGTGAGAGGCCAGCCAGGGCGGGGCAGGGGGGGCCTCACCGTCTGTGGTGCAGCAGCCCTCGGGTGGGGGCTGCAGCTGGTAGGGATTCGGGGGACTGCTGGGCTCCAGGCCCCCCTCTCCCTCCTCCTCCTCTTCCTCGTTGTCCACTCGGCTTCCACCTGCACGTGAAAAGGAGAGGGAGGATTTGTGAGGTGGCCGCTGCCGGCCCTGAGCGCCCCCTCCAGGGTCTCCCCTTGCACCCCACGCCGAAGCCAGGCACAGGACCCTTCAGTAAGCTCCAGCAACGCTGGGCCCCTCCTGATCAGCCAGTCCTCACAGCCACACTCAGCTCGAAGCAGATGCAGGCTCAGAGCCTGCTAACTTCAAGTTCAAGTTCACTTCTCAACCATCCACTACTCTGCACACGTGCTGGAGGTTTAACACACATGTAATTGGCTCCTAAGAACCAAGCACAGGAGCCGGCAGCGTGGCGTAGCGGGGAAAGCTGCCTGCAGCGCACCACCGGCATCCCATATGGACACCAGCTCCAGTCCCGGCTGCTCCATTTCCGATCCAGCTCTCTGCTGGTGGCCTGGGAAAAGCAGCAGCAGATGACCCCAATGCTTGGGCCCCTGCCACCAATGTGGGAGACCCGGAGGACGCTCCTGGCTCCTGGCTTCAGCCTGGCCCAGCCCTGGCCATTGCTGCCATCAGGGGAGTAAACCAGCAGATAGAAGGTCTCTCTGTGTCTCTGCCCCTCTCCATAAATCTAACTCTGCCTTTCAAATAAGTAAGTAAATCTTCAAAAGAAAATTAGAAAGAGCCGAGCACAAAGCCTGTGGGCAGTAGGCACTCCCATGCCAAGAACACAGTGCTGTCACATCTAACAGGAAAGGCTCAGAGAGACGCGCTGATTGGCCTACAGCTCTTCAACCACCAGCAAAGCAGCGCAGCCTGCAAGGTCCCAGTCGTGTCTGCCGCCCACGCTGCCCCTACACCGCACCACTCCGTTTAGAAAATCCCACGGAGGCAAACTGCCTTTACACAGTGAGAGCCGTGAAACTGAACACCGTCACTGTCCCCCAGGGAAGGATGCGGGTACGCAATGCTAGACACGCAGACACGCTCAAAGCTATCACACAGAGACCTTCTGGAACATTCTAGAAGCAGCCCAGGCATGCCAGGGCTTTAGGAAGCTTGACAAGTGAGAGAAACAATATTTCTGTGGGGTGGGCATGGTGGCACCGCAGCTGAAGCCATGGCTCAGGATGGTCACGTCCCATGGTGGACAGCCCGGGTTCGAGTCCTGACTCTGCAACTTCCGGAATGTGCCGAGGAGGCAGCAGATAATGGCCCAAGCACTTGTGTTCCTGACCCCCACGTGGGAGACAGCCTCCTCGCTCCCGGGCTCACCTCTCTCCAACCCCCTCACCCCCTGTGTCACCACTCTGCCTTTCAAATAAATAAATAAGCAAAACATCTTTCAAAAGAAATACTTGAGCTGTTTTTTTTCTAAGAAAAAATAGTATTTCAGGAGGCACAGCACACATGGACTTGACAAGGTGGGCCCAACCCTGACCATGGACATGGACATCTCCGGGGTCCCAGGGCCTGAGCCCATCTCTGTAGGAGTGGACTTCCTGTGGGCTCCCCAGGCTCTCGGCTGCTGGAGGGCGGGGCTCTGCCCCCACCCCTGGGCCGTGTGTTACAGGCACCGGGACAAGGCTGAGCGGAGAGCGGGTGTTCCAGAGAGAGAGCTTCCCAGGCCAGCCCCTCAGCTTGTTTAAGGTAGAACCTTTCTGATGGCCTCTCTCTCAACGCCACTTGTACGCAGCACACAGACCCTCCACACGGCGGGGTCCTTACGCACACCCTGACGTGCACGGGGCTGGCTTCTCCATCCGCCTGTCCCGCGTCCTGCTCTCAGCTGACTTGGGCCACGCGGTGGTCTTGAGAGACGGACAAAATCGCATGTATGGAGACACTGTGCATCTCAGCACTCAGACGGGCGCTGGCGGGGGAGCCGCGGCACCTCCCTGTCCGTCACACCCTCTGTCGTGCACGGGGACGCCCTGCAGTGGCTCTGAACTGTGAACTACTGTGGTCCACATGGAGATGCGGCCCTCGGAGCTGCCCAGAATGTTCCAGATGTGATGTGCCCAGGGCACTGGCCACCGTTTTAAAGCTGCCAGTGGGACAGAAGGCAGAGGGAACTGAACATGTGTGGGGGGTGCGACCTTGGGAAGGTCACGGACGAAAGTGAAGCAAGAATTCCTGGTGTCTCTTTCCTCCTGGGCCCTGTGGACACAGAGGCAGCGGGAAGACCAAGATGACCCAGGCAGCACACAAAGGGAGGGGAGAGAACAGGTCGGAGGCCACGCCCAGCGCCGCCTTTCTGTCCTCAGATGCAGGCGGGGTGGCTGCAGCAGGGTCGCGCCTGGACCCCAGACGCCAGCAACGCCCAGCGGCTCCCCCAGTCGGGGGCAAGGCCCAGAGCCTCTGAAGCATCAGCCCGACCTCTGAGCCAGGGCTCCAAGGACGCAGGAGGCGACAAAGATGCCAAAGGTCAGAGGGCAACAGGGGGAACCCCGGGAGGACTCAGACAGGTGGCACCCGAAGCCAGAGCAGGAGCCCCGGGGTGGAGGGCACCCAGGAGCGTCCCCGTGTTACCCCACTGAGCTGAGGAGGAGGAGGGCACCCCAGGAACGTCCCGTGTTACCCCACTGAGCTGAGGAGGGGGAGGGCACCCCAGGAGCGTCCCCGTGTTACCCCACTGAGCTGAGGAGGAGGAGGGCACCCCAGGAGCGTCCCCGTGTTGCCCCACTGAGCTGAGGAGGGGGAGGGCACCCAGGAGCGTCCCCGTGTTACCCCACTGAGCTGAGGAGGGGGAGGGGGAGGGCACCCCAGGAACGTCCCGTGTTGCCCCACTGAGCTGAGGAGGGGGAGGGGCTGAAGTCCCAGAAGTCAAAGAAAGAACAGGAGAGGCAGTGAGCTGGAAACAGGGTCAAAGGTTACACCAGACGTGCTGGGCCACAAGAGGCTGAGAAGCTTTTCTTGGCCCAGAGCTGGCTAGACTAGGCACAGCCCAGGCCATCACAGCCCAGGCCAGGCGCAGGCTAGACCAGGCGCAGGCTAGACCAGGCGCAGGCTAGACCAGGGGCAGCCTAGGCCAGGCACAGGCTAGGCCAGGTGTAGGCTGGGTCAGGCACAGGCTAGGCCAGGTGTAGGCTGGGTCAGGCACAGGCTAGACCAGGCGCAGGCTGGGTCAGGCACAGACTAGACCATCACAGGCTAGGCCAGGCGCAGGCTAGACCAGGGGCAGCCTAGACCAGGAGCAGCCTAGGCCAGGCACAGGCTAGACCATCACAGGCTAGGACAGGCGCAGGCTGGGTCAGGTGTAGGCTGGGTCAGGCACAGGCTGGGTCAGGTGCAGGCTAGGCCAGGCGCAGGCTGGGTCAGGTGCAGGCTAGGCCAGGCGCATGCTGGGTCAGGTGCAGGCTAGGCCAGGTGCAGGCTGGGTCAGGTGCAGGCTAGACCAGGCATAGCCCAGGCCATCACAGGCTAGGCCAGGTGCAGGCTGGGTCAGGTGCAGGCTAGACCAGGCACAGCCCAGGCCAGGCACAGGCTAGGCCAGGCGCAGGCTGGGTCAGGTGCAGGCTAGACCAGGCGCAGGCTAGGCCAGGCGCAGGCTGGGTCAGGTGCAGGCTAGACCAGGCACAGGCTAAGCCAGGCGCAGGCTGGGTCAGGTGCAGGCTAGACCAGGCGCAGGCTGGACTGGTACAGGCTGGGCCAGGTACAGGCTGGTCCAAGGGTGGGCTAGGTCAGGTGTGGGCTGGGTCAGGTGCAGGCTAGACCAGGTGCAGGCTAGACCAGGCGCAGGCTAGACCAGGCGCAGGCTGGACTGGTACAGGCTGGTCCAAGGGTGGGCTAGGTCAGGTGTGGGCTGGACCGGGTGTAGACCAAACCAGGCACACTTCCACAGCTCTCTGGGCTGGCTGGCAGCTCCCAGAAGCCTGGCATACGACTGGCCAGGAGGGAGCCCAGCGTGTTCCCATGAATCCTGGTGACTCGCGTGCAGGGAGCACGAGACTGTCCATCGCCGTGTCTGCATTCAACCCCCTTTCTTTCCGCGTCAGCGATTTATAGGAATTTACCTGTACCGTTTAATAAATACTTGTCCCCAATGGCTGGGCTTGGTTTTTCTTAAAAAAAAAAAAATAAACCAGTAACGTGCGAAAGGTTCTCCCACGGAAGGAGGTGGCAGGCAAGAGCCCCAATGCAAAGAACAAAGAAAGCTGGCCCCTGGGTCACCCCTCGCAGGTACACGGTGTCAGCAGCTCGGGCTGCACGAGCCCTCGGCACTGTTCCTGTCTGCGGAGGCCCTGGCGGAGCTCGGGCAGACAAAACAAGGCAGGGCCCCGCCAGCCGTCTGCTCCGCCGTGTTTTATGATGCAGAAACAAGGCCTGCAGCAGAGGCTGGGTTTATGGGGACACTGGGCAAACTGCACAGGACCTCCCCTCCCGCCCACGCCTGCCCCAAAGGAGCAAAACCTCAGGGGACCTGTGTCCTGTAGCTTGCTGGACCAATGGGAGGATCACACAGAGGACGGCTCCAGCGTCCACGCCAGCGTGGAGGGTCAGCAAGGCCCACTGGACGTTAGCACCGGAGCGGTGAATGTGCCTCCTGAGCTCTGTCCCTGGCAAGCGCCACGGCCCGCAGCGAAGTCAGCACGTTAGAGACACAGCCTGCACGTTAGAGACGCAGGGAGGCCACCGGGAGACCAGCAGGTGAAAAGCTGGTGCCAGAGGGCTTTCTCCTCCTCCCCCACCCCCACCCGGTCAGTCCCAGAGCCAAGGATGCAGCTCTGCTCCCTCGTGGCCCCCAGCCTCCCTTCTCCCCACATTCAGCTGTAGTGGGCAAGCCTTCCAGACCTTAAGGTCTGCATCAAGTGTGCAAGACTGCCATCGGTAGCCCGTCAGTCATTTCTCCTCTCAACACAGCTTCTCGGGACCACGAGAAGCAAAGGAAGACCCGTGGGAGTGCTTCAGACGCCGCTCGGAGCGTGGAACCCAAAGGCCAGGCTCTATTAGGGCAGGGGCTAGCCTCGCATTTCAGACACCTGTGGCCCACATCAGGGAGCTGGGCTCAATACCGGGGCTCCTGTCTCCAGCTTCCTGCTAACACAGACCCTGGGAGACAGCAGGGACCGCTCACGTGACTGGATTCCTGCTGCCCATGTGGGAGACACTGACCGAGCTCCTGGCTTCAACCCCAAGCCCAACCCTGGCCATCGTGGGCAAGCAAATGAGAGTTCTCTCTCTTGAATGAATGAAAATCAGTATGTGTTTAAAAATCGAAATCCTTGCCTTTTTTCCCATATTCCCTTCTCATGAACCTTCTGAAATAACATCATACACACACACACACATGCACACACACTCAGGAACACCCAGCACCAGGCCCACACACCTAGGGTTTCCTCTTTAACTGCATTTGCTCTAGACCACACCACCCTCTTCCCCTACAGCCACTGAAGCTTCCAGGTAACAGGAGTCAGAGACTTGAACTTGCAGTAAGAACTTCTAGGGCAGTAGCTGTCTAGCACTATGAACTGCTGCAGGGTTGCTTTTGACATGAACATGTGCAGCTTTGGAAAAAAAAAAAGCACAGAATGATTTTATCCTCTGGGTGACTAAGTAAACCCCAAAGTCATCCCCGGGCTGAAGGTCACTTAGTCACTTGATTCTCAGCAAAGGTTAAGTTCAGGAGGGTTTGCTCTGGGTTTCAAGATTCAGGAGGGCTCTGGTCGCCACCATCTCGGAGAGAAACCACGTGGACCACTTTGCAAGGATGTGGCCGTAAGTCTCAAAACAAGGAGAAAAGTACGTAGCTGAGGGTGCAAAGCATGCAAAATTCCTAACCCGAGCAAACTTGTGTCTCCCGCCTAAGAAGCGCGTAACAATCGATTCACAACAAGCCCCACGGCCCTCCTCCTTTGTCCCATTCATCCAATCGATCGGCTCACGAAGGCTGCAACGCGCTCTCATCTTCCCCAAGTGAGGACTTCTACACCACTTTCTCCTCCTCGTGATCCCTGGCTGCCCGCTCGCCGTTCCCTACCCCAGCAGAAGAGGAGGGTCTCGCGTTCCCTTCCGGACACCAGCCCCGTGCAGAGAGGAACAGGCGGGCACGTCCTACCTTCGAGCGAGGACAGCTGCTGCTCGGCTTCCAGGTAGAGCTGGGAGAAGATGGGCCTGGGCACCAGGTGGCTGGAGCGCAGGGAGGCCTCGATGGAGTTGTGCAGAACCTCCTCGAACCGCGTCGTCTTCAGCTGTCCCGCGTACGAGTTTCCCATCTTCAGCCGCCAGGACGCAGTCCTCGGCTCAGAACGGCATCGCAGGGGGAGTGAGCGAGCCTGGCTCCGGAGCCTGCAGAAGGCAAGAGCGGCTGTCAGAGGGCAGGGCTGTGGGCCTCCGCCCAGCACGGAGGAGGGGAGGGGAGGAGAGGGAGGGGGGGAGGGGGAGGGGGGAGGGGGAGGGCGGTCCCCGGGGCTGCAGCCACTACGGGGCAATTACAGGAAGTTGTATAAGCAACAGCATCGCCCAGCCCGACACCTTCACTGGTATTCCACTGGGGGCTGTCTCTGAGCCATCCCCTCTGCTCCCAGAGATGGGGTCCTCTCCCCACCCCACCCCCATCTCCCAGCACCTGCTGGGCATCCAGCTGTGGGCTCAGCAGCCCGGGACAGCCAGCCCCCAGCCTGGAGGACTCCAGGAGTGCCCACAGCTCCTTTTCCAAACCGAGGCCAGCAGGTTGCTTAATGTTGCTGTGTCTGGCAAAGAGCTGATGTTTAGTTAACAACATGCTTTTTAGTTTATGGGATGTTTCCAGTATAGAATTAACGCGGAATTACAGCTAGGAAAACTCAGAAATCTGCAATGACAGGAGAGAGGCAAAGCGCCGAGATTCCCATCCCCCAAGGTAACCACCTGGGGAGTGTTTCCCTGTGCACCTTCACTGAGACGTAATCCACAGACCACGCCACGTCCTGTACACCGTTCAGTGGTTTCCGGTATAGCCACAGTGTGCCACGTGCAAGCATCCTGCACCCCATCTCAGAGTGCTGGCACCCTCCCCAGAAGGCACCCACGGCAGCTGTCACGGCCTGCAGCCCCAGGCCGCCAGACCCGGTGTCATCCACCGTCTGAGCTCAGAGGCAGCGCAGGGTCTCCTGGATCCCTCCGCACTGGAGCCTGGCTCACTCTGCGCCCCCTCGGGGAGCCCGTGCCCTGTTCTGCACAGACTGAACTCCCCTTCGGAACTTGGGGATGGGAAGAGGGGGGACTGTCCACAATACCACCTTTCCATCTTCCACTTAGCGTAAGCATTTCACTCCGCCCCCTTACGTGTGATTTCACAACTGTTAATGTTCCACTGAGTGGAAATGCTCATTTCTGCTCAGACGTTTCCTTCCGTCCGTCCACAGGGCTATGTCTGTATTTTCTTTTTTAAAGATTTATTTATTTGAAAGGCAGAACAGTTTACAGAGCCAGATCGGAAGTGGAGCAGCCAGGACTCGAACCGGTGCCCATATGGGGTGCCGGCACTGCAGGAGGTGGTTTTACCCGCTAGGCCACAGCGCCAGCCTCACGTTTGTATGTTCAGCCCCCCCAAGAACACTGAAATATGTCTGCCTTCCTGCTTCCTGCCCATTGGCTGGTTCACTAAGTGGCTCTACTCTATGTTTCCCTCGATTTCCTTTCGATTTGTTGTGCTTTTTGCAGTGGTCCCTCGATCACCGTCTGCCGACTTCAATGTTTTGGCTCCTCTTTCACAAGGACAACAGTGGAGGCAGCTCCTCTGCTGTGGCACTGCGGGTTGGGACAAAATATCCTCCCTTCTTCTCCTTGCATCTCCGGGACCCTACGATCGCTCTCAGATTCCTCCTCTGAGCCCAGACTTGGGTGGGGGAGGGCTCAGCCTCATCTCAGCAACCTCCCACTTGTGCTGGTCTCGGGCTGTGGCCTGCAGAAACTCAGCTGTCTAAGCCTGCTAAGGGAGTCTGACAGGTGGTGGGTGAGGTTCTATCAACAGGCGAGGTGACTGGATTCCTTTCCGTCACTGCCTGCTTCTCGTGCACTCGCCAACCAGCACGAGGCGCCCACGCGGAATAGCCGCACACTGCCTCAGGAGGGGTGCCTTAACCCCCACCAGTCCTCGTCCTGCTGGGGGCAGAGGGGTCCAGATGCCACCCTGGGGCCCTGGAGGAGCTCCGGTTTCTCTCCTGGAGGCTGGTGCAGCCTCGCTGATCTTCCGTCTCTATGGTGAGGAGCCTCCCCCTCTTCCAACTCAAAGTAAATGGAAACCATTAAGCACTTCCTGCTGTGGCAGTAGCTGCTGCCCACGGCCCCTCGGCATCCCGCCAGGGGAATGAGCCGCTCGCAGGGCTGCTGCAGGAATTCGCCCAACACAAAGAGGGGTCAGCAGCAGCGCAGCCCACGCCGAGCCGGCGGCCACCACAGACTGAGGGCCGAGCAGCCACACGTGGGGCTCCTCCATGCAGGGCAGCTGGTCCCTTCAACTGTGGTCACTGACGGCCATCACACCCCCTTCTGCTTCTATGGCCAGGAGCTCCTGCAGAGCCCCGTCCCTTGGCTGAACACATACGGTCGGGACTCTGGGACCCTATGTGCTCAGGGTCCTGTTGGCTAGTTCACACCCAGAGTAGAGCCCAGGGGACTCCATCATTTAAAAAAAAAAAAAAAAAAGATTTATTTATTTGAAAGGCAGAGTTAAGTTATGGAGAGAGAGAGAGAGAGATCGTCCATCCATTAGTTTGTTCCCCAAATGACAACAGCCAGGAACCAGGAGCCTGGAGGTCCATCTGGGTCTCCCATGTGGATTGGAGGGGCCAAAGTAGCAGGGCAGCAGAGAGCTGGATCGGAAGAACAGCCGGGACTCATGGGATGCCGGCGTCACAAGCAGCAGCTTAACTCGCTGTGCCACAACACCAGCCCCGGGGCCCCACTGTTAAGGCAAATGAATGCAACAAAGGAGAAGACAGACAAACCTAATATTCATTGTTCAGCTGCTATGTGCACGGCATGCGTGGTAGCCATGGGAGGGTGCTGGGAAGCCCATTTCACAGATGACAAACTTGAGTCTTGGAGAAAGGTAACCAGAGAGGTAACTCTTGTGGAAAGAAGGCAAATTGAGGTGGGGGAAGAGAGCAAGAAAGAAAGGAGGGTGGTGTAGAGAAGGTGTCGCACTCTAAAGCCAGACAGCTTACGTCCCCATGCTGCACAGACAGCCCGGCTTTCACGTCTATCAGTGCAGGGAAAGAGAAAACGTGTGCACTGCCCATTTGTGATGCACCTGCAACCCTGACCGGGAGCATTCTGGGAATAAGGCGGGAAGGGAGCACTGGGCACAGCGGTGACAATGTGGCCCCTCTTGCCCGTCCCCAGTGGACTCCAACCCAGGAGCATGGGACCTGCCACCTCTCCTGGCCACGGAGCCACACGGGAAGGGCAGAGGCACACCTGGCTCATCAGAGTCCTGCTCTTGACTGATGGGAAACTAAGGTCGCTGGCCTGGTTCAGGGTCAGACTGGAAGGCTGAAACCCTCCCAATCGCCTCAGGGAAGGAAGACGGCACCTGGCAGGGTCCCTTTCTCCCTCTCCCTCCCTCCCTCTCCCTCCCTCTGCCTCTCTCTCCCTCTCCCTCTCTCCCTCTGCCTCTCTCTTCCTCCATCTCCTTCTCCTGCCCTCCCTCTCTCTCCCTCTCCCTCTCTCTCTCCCTCCCTCCCTCTCTCCCTCTCCCTCCCTCCCCCGCCCCTCTCTCCCTGGCCTGGCCCTCACACTCACCCCACCCCTGATCTCTGCTAGGCTCCTGCTGCAGCTCTCCAAGTCTCCAGCCGCCACCAGGATCCGTTCTGCACCTTGACAATGACATCCACTGCCCGCACGGCAAGGCCTGGCCCAGCTCCCCCCGGCCCTGGTCCAGGGGACTTGCCAGCCACAGAACCGGAGGCAGCACCCTCAGCACGGTGCACCCTACACAGAGGCCTGGCCACAGCACAGTGCTCGACTCCCTGGGCCTCCGGGTCCACAGCTGTAAAGTGGGCACTTGAAGGCCGACTGGTCGTGATGGGGAGTAAGAGGCCGGGTGTGAAGGGCCTCGCAGCCCACCTGGTGGTCAGCGCGTGCTCACTCCCTTCCGGCTCGTTCTGAACACCCCCATGGAAAGGCGAGGATTTCAGGGCATAAAGGACAGGTGACACAGAGCACCACAGTCAGCAACGGACGGCGATCCGACAGGGACATCGGAGACGAAACCAGCAGGAAGCCGTGCGGCTGGCAGTGCGGGGGAGGTCACTTAGACCTTTGCTATCTGCTTGCTTCCAGGGAACAAAATGCGGCTCTCACATTCCATCAGAGGAGGCAGCCGGTCGGCTGGCAGGCCTCCAGGAAGGGGCCCGGCGCGAAGCTTTTTCACCAAACCAACCTCAAACCCCAGGGCCGGTGGCCATCTGGAAACACCTACACCCCTGCCGGGGGGGAGCTGACTGACCCAGGTGAGTATGGAGTCACCAAGGTGAGCTGTCCCCACGCAATCCACATCGTTGGGACACCTGGCCCAAGCCTTCTCTTCCCGCGGCACCCATCCACGAAACCAAGGACTCGGGTTGGATGCGCAGTCACCTTGAGGTTGGGCTGAAGTTCAACTAGATTAAGTGCAGGGCAGAAGTGCCCCGGGAATAAAGGACGGGCAAGAGGCACCAGAGAAGGGGACAGATGGGATCCACAGGGGATCAGAGGGGATCTGTCCCCTCGGATGCACAGTGAAGGAACGGACAGGCGTAAACCCACAGGCAGCTGGGAGGGAAAGCAGGAGAGACTCAGAAAAGCAAGAACTGAATCCAGCCCCGAACCAAGACAGGTGTCCCAAGAAGCAACCAAGTTGGCCCCACAACAGAACCCAGGAAAGTCTTAGGAACTTGAGGCCCCAGGAAGCAAGGGGAGGAAGAATGGAAGTCCTCCTTCCCTCTCCCCACAGGAACCAACACTGGCAGTTTACTCGGGGCAAACGAAACCAAGGAGAATCCAGACTCCAACAGGTGTGCGTGCAGCGCAGGGGAACGGATGCCAACTCCATACCCCAAAAGCCAAAATGCCCCTCCCAGTGCTCTGTCCCCGGCCCGACTCTGTCCCCAGCCCAGCAACATCAAAATCTTGGAGCTGTAGGCTCCAGAGCTCAAGACGAGGCCAAGTTCACTGGCCCCAGGGACTCAGCCCCTCCCCTCGCTGCTCCACGAGGACCCGGGGCCTTGGCCAGCAACGCTGCTACACCGGGGCCCTTGCAGAGCTTATAGAAAGTGAAACTGAGAGGGAGGCTTGCAGCGGCCGTGTGGTGCAGCGGTTACGAC